ATGCAGTGAGTGTGACTATGTTAAAACTAAAGAAATTGTTCACACATTCGTTTAACATCAACGACAAAATGATGATTTATATGCGAGCAAAGGCAATTTCACTAGTCAAACATAGACATATGATTGAAGTACATTCCTTTGAAGTTAAGTGAATTGATTGAAATCATTCTCCTAGACGCTCGCATTTCAAATTAATTTCTGATGGACTCACACTACAAGCATACTATATTACTGCAGTAACTGGTTGGCTCATGTTGTTAGATGAGCTTGCATTAGATGAGTTAGAATTGAGGTAAAAACAGTTAAAAATGTATACCTGCGCAACCATACTGAGCTGTTTGTTGGCGCGAAAATATAGATTCAGAGAACATCTGCCAAAGTCACTTGCTATACAAATAATCATATTGCCTACTGACTGTCTACCTTATGTTCAATTTATTTTGAGACGATGGAATCATAGAAGCTTTAATTATTCACATTCAGTGAAGCAAACTAATTGCACACTGTATTTTCATCTATTAAAATGAATCTTTTACCAGTTTCAACGCTCAAAACGTACTGGTCTTCAAATAATACTCAACTGAACAAGTTTTAGATGCCCTCCGAGAGGTGGAAAGATGAATGTTCAGCTGATTGTAAAAAATATAATTGTTTACACCACTATAAACTGTCCTCCTTGTCGGTCAATGTGTAAGGTTAGTTGTACATTTTTCCTTATTGTTATTTAAGTAAAATACTAAGACGAAGATCTGTCATTCATGCTGCTTCGAAAAAACTATTGTTGAAATGTCTTGTAGTGTAGTGCACATATGAACTTTACCAACTGTAGGATTCACCAATCATTCCAGGCCGCCAAAAATCATTTATCATGTTCAGTTCTAACATGATGAAGCGTTATATGCTTGATTGCATATAGACAGAAAATCTGTTCAACCAAAAGTCAGAGAAGTTTTATTTTTCTCGCACTGATAAAATCCGAATTTCTCAAACTGAAATGTGTTAATTATCATGCATTTTACATTAGCTACGAAGTTCAATATTTTTGTTGACCACTTGATTGTTTGCTATCGCATTTTCTAAAGTATTGTGCTGGTTATTATAACCGTTTCCACAATATTCTGTTCTAATTTGACCATTTAAAGAACACTTCTGAAATTAATGAACCCCTGACTTGACTATTGACTGACCGATGTCATTGTCGCATATTATGTACGAGTACACTGACATGTGATCGAGCAAGTTGATATTGTTGCACCGATTGTTTATAATTTGACGAATACTATACATGACTGAAGCACTTTATGCGTATATGTATGCACCAGAAATTTATAAAATTCTAGCTTATGTTTCGTCTGCAAATTTTTCGTATCATCGAAACGTTGTCCAAGGTCATGAGGCATCTATTGATACTACTATTGAAATGTAGTCATCAACTGAAATATTCATTTGACAGCCATTATATTTTATTCATTAGGTAATGATCACATGTTTTGTTCCTAATAATACATATGTAACATTGATTATTTGTCCGTTTTCAAATAAATCTACATAAAAAAAATACTTCGTTTTGATCAAATATGTTTTGTTTACTCTTTATCTCCCATATTGTAGTTGAACGACAACCATTAAATTCCTAAAAATGGAATTAGATTCGAACAATAATTGCAAAATTGTATGCTTATTCTATGTACAATGACTAAAAGTACAAACCGACAAGCAGATTGTAATATTTTGCAGATGTAGAGACAAAAAATCATTACATCGATGTAAATGAATTTGTAAAATGAGAGATGTTATTTATGTTGCATGAGTAGTTATTAAAAGGGATACAATCTCTAACTCTGGTCACGTATGGTCGAAAAATGAATATTTCGGTATCGCGAAAAAATCATTACCCGACATGAGACAAAGTAAGATAATAGTGTTTAAGCTCGGGTGCATCTCTTGCTATCCCATGCCATACAATGTGTATGCCATATGCTATACTGCTGTATAGAGCTGAAGGTTTCCCATGAGACCGAAGGTTCTCTGTGAACATTGTGGATGGCTTGGCATCACTTTTGCAAGTATTGCTAACAATTCATATATAAAACTAGTTAGCACGGTGACAAATATCATTGGGTCAGATTGGCCTGTTCATGCGTTGCGTACAGGTCGGCGCGACCATCGATCGGAAAAAATCACAGCATACATACTAATGCATATTAATGGTGTGAATGACCCATCAGTGTGTCAGGTACCTGTTTAGTCGCACCACGTTGAAATGCTGACATTTAGGCAGTCTCCTTTTTTCCGCTGAAAGCCGATGCAAAATTATCCATGCTTAAAGAGGATTAATTTATCTTTAGTAATTAAATTTGTTGATAAAAGGTGAAAACATTCTCCTTAACCTCGGAAATCTGTATGTGGTTGTATAATTAAGCTGAATGTTTTCCATCTAAGAAAACTATATTTAGGGTCTGTGAATAATGAAGGTCTTAATACATTTTAAACAGTTGTGTCGCACAAATTTTCACTTGTCTAGGCATTCTGTATGGAAATCGAGGAAAAGTTCAATTAAGTCAGTATTCACACTCAAACAATCCTGTTTCGTTAACGAAACTTGAGCACGACTGTCCACCTTAGCTTCAACGTTTCCTGAACACCACATTTCGACTGCTAGGTGCCCATATTACAAATCACATAATTCGTACTCAGTTATTACGCCAGTGTGAATCAGATCGAATTTCATCAATGGCCATCTGCTTCCCTGCAAAAGAGATCAGTACCTGGATCATGGAATCACAATTAACCTGACTTGAATAACATTCATTGCAGAGGCCTAATGTAATATGCAATTCATTAAGTAGACTTTTTATTGCTCCATAACTGTTTAGATGCAGGTGGATATAGTTAAATCGTATGCTTTGGGAAGTGAGAGAATTCTATTCGGCCATATCCGAAATAATAATAATGATAATTACATACAGGTGCTTATTTTATTATTTTGAAAAGTGATTGAAGCAGTTTGAGTGAAATAGTGTGACAGGTACTCGTCAGTCATTTAGAAAATGAATAAATTACTCACTCGTAAAATTGAGAGATCGTTTCGCGTTTTTGTGTGTTGGTTGAAAATACCCACGTAAACCGGTAGATAAAATGTGTGTTTCTAAGAACGTTTTGTTAACATTAAGCAACAAACACACAAGCGGTTGACAAGCCTAAAATGATATAGAATTTTTAATGGTTGTTTCAATCTTACTATTGAGGTTTTTGAACTGTTATCGGTCAGTCTCTCTAGCATACGTATATAAGATTAAAACAAGCAACATAAACGAACTATACTACAAACCATTACACAAGTGATTGGCCAACTGGAATCAGTATTCAGGTGGATAACAGGAAGCAGTTTTAAGGTGAAGGTACTCGGTTCAAATACTACAATAAACATCAACACAATGATGTGGGCCAATCCATCTGATGCGAGTTCTCAGTAGAACGAAACATACGTCCTGAATTCCATCACTAGCGTTTATCCACCTCTGCTTGTAAAATGAAAGACGTTTTAGAACGTCTGCAGAATTGATAAAAGTGTCTGCAAAAGAATTGTTCGATTTTCAAAATGCGCTAGTGATCCATTATACATTGTCTGCGCAACATCATAATCAGTTAATTCATCATTGCCGAAAGATTCATCGGTTATCTACGTATCCACATCGGGAGTTTCACAGAGGACCATCTTAGGTCCACTTCTCTTCCTGATATTTATTAACGACCTGTTAGACACAGTTAGCTCACGGGCATTGATCTACGCAGATGATGCGAAGGTTTGTAGGTCCATTAGAAGCGAACAGGATTCGGCTGAGCTTCAAGAGGACCTTACATCTGCTGAGGAATTGGCTGTGAAAAACGGTCTAAAACTAAACAAGTCGAAGTATCACGTCATTTACATTCTGCCCCACATGACGCAAACGATTCACACCGTCAATGGAAGTCCGCTCCCTAATGTCTCCTCATAGTGCGATACCAGTGTATTAACCGTGGAAAGCCTCAACACAAGCCCAAACTGTATAGGAGACGCAGCCAAGGCGGATGCGAATCTTCACTTTATGCGAAGACAATTTGATGCTATCACCCCTCAACTATTCTTAGAGATATTTAAGAGATACACACGCCCACGACTGGAGGTTCACAACGTCATCGCACCCAATCTCCTTAAAAAAGACATAAATCTCTTGGATCGAAGGCATAGAGACGAGCAAAGAATTAGGTGATAGTGTTGAAAAATTAAACTTATGAACATAAACTTCAGTATTTGGGATTATTCTCTCTGAATTACAAGAGAATCAGAGGTGAGCTGATTCTGCCATGCAAAATATTAGGCACTCTAAATCATCCGAACGTGGACACCTTACCGATGAATCACTGCCTCGAAATATCGCGAATCAGAGAGCGAACACTTAGGTTCGTGAACACTTTCTTTTATTAAGGGTCATTTAAACTTGGAATGCTCTCCCAACCGAGGTGACCACAGTCCCCTAAGTGGACGGCTTCAAATAGAGACTTGATAACCACTTACACACATACGGATTATCATCTTCCTCCTGGACAAGTTGTGGCCGATGCATGTCTTGAGACCTGCTAGTTGTTACTATTGCCATCTACTCAGATTACTAACTGAATCTTTCTGGCTTATTATCTCTGTTTTCTCTCCCTTACTTACACTTCGGTCATCTCGTATCATCTTCACTTCCAATTAATAAACTAAATTATCCATTGTTTACTTAAATCTGAAATCTTACTCTCATTAGCATTAGAACTTTCTTATTATTCTCCACATTACAACTAACTGATCTCCGGTCTGGTAATGTGACGGCTGCTAGTATCCAGAAACCCTACTGCCCTGAAACAAACGTTTCATTCAAATCCCGAAACATACAAACTCACAACCAACTGCCAACTGACTAGAATTAGACAATCGAGTGGCTAGACCTCCATCCATTGGACATTACCGAACACCTGGAACCGTACCGAAAGAACAAGAATCGAGCGCGAGGAAAAAGATATTGGATATTGGATTGGACATATGACTGACCTTATAAAACCTTTTACTCGTAACACTGGACGCTACTGAAGTTACAGTCTTCAATCACAACAATAGTAATTTGACTTTTTTGGTACAAGGATCGTTCATTACAGTTTGTCACGCTTACATACGATTCAGTGTTATTATATACGACCTTGCACGAAGGCGCTTAGTAGATCTGCGGCGATGTAACGCGCTCAATGAAATCTCTGCATCAAGTCCTGGTTCTCACTGTCAGAGTGCCTTAATTCTGCATTAACTTCATTTATTATCGCTATTTATCGATTTCATCATTGGATGTAAGTCTATTCTATGCGTTGATGAAGTCATCTCACTTCTCTCATTTTTCTCTCTTCCTAGTAGCATTGTTTTCTATTCTACTCCAACATACAGCTTGCCTTCTGGCTACACTCAAACTCACCGAAGGCTAAACATCACAAAGCGGCTTACAGTAATGGGTTTCACGTGATAATATGCTGTCAAGTGATGAGAAGCGATTGCATGTTTCACTTACCCACCGGGTCATTGCTTCTTCAGTCGGTGGGATGATAACAGCGTTCGTTATGACACCTCTTGATGTCGTTAAAGTTCGGATGCAGGTAAAAAATTAAAATAGTCCTTATTTTTCACTGTAGTCTCCTAGGACTTACTCTGAACCCAAGTGTCTTGCTTATTGCAATGCATTAATAGATCGCCTCTGTACCTGCTCGTTGAGCCTTAACACCTGTTCTCTGTCTTGGTCACAACGTGCTATGAAGTCTATAGGATGGTGTAATTTGTCTACTTCTAATGGATCCCATTGTTGTTGCCCATGTATTTCTCACTATAATCCATCGATTACATTTCCCTACCGTTCCCCTGGTATTTCAGTAAGTTTTGATATACTTTCTTGTTTTACATTAAGATCTGTGTGAACATGTTATGTGTTTATGATACTTATGTATATCTTTGTTGTAAACTTATGTGATGTTCAATTAATAAGCTATGTCGATGTTGTATGGTTAACTTCGGGTCCTTTTAATAAGGCTTTTTTTATCTGCTTATCTACTACGACAGACAAGTACAAGCTCTCATATCTTCCCCGTTTTGTTATTTTTATCTACGTTTTATCAAAAATAAGACAACTTTTAGGGATAAATTTTTTTGTGAGGTTTTTATCTTTTCTCATCTAAGTAAATATTTAGAAGAATAGGAAAATTTGTGGATCCTAATTTTAAAAAATCAACTCTGTGGTAAGTTATATATGCCATGTTACCACACTTTAAACCAATGAATCAAGATATTATGACCTGAACATTGGTTGTAGATGATATGTTATCTATAAGGTTTGTCTCTAGATCATAAACGAAATACTTCTCTTATTTGGTACATATTCTATCAACTAATCTCTTTATCGCTAACAAGAAACTAGAAGTTGAACATTAGTGTTTATTTAGTCAAACCATTGGAAGTGAAGTTAACATTTATTACAGCCTATCCACAAAATGTAAGTATGCACCGTCTCATATGGACAACACGAAACACAAAAAGGTAAGGAGATAAACCTACAGACGTTTGGGTTACGAAATACTTGGCCACATTTGAGTGACAAAAATAGGTTACATGGCAATGGCTACAGTACCTACACGACAAATGTTAAGACACCATTAGTCTTCCTAATTAAATATTGAGGACAAGCCACTTTGATATCACTATATCTCTATTGTTTATCTCGTGTGCACAAAACGTGTTTCAGTACAAATATAGAATCTACTCAATAAAATGGAATCCTTATCATCGGTTTACATTATTATAAAGGTCGAAGCTAGTTCTTTTGGTGTATAGTCCGTCTAAAACTGTCATGGATTAAAAAGTACTAATGTTTATGCATAGAATTTCTCAGTAAAATTTGTTCGAAGCAATTAGGTGGCTGTTCACAAAAAATATGGTTCCATTCTTAGTGATGTCAACTGCAGTACTAGTCGCCTTGTGAAAATCAAAAATTGTGAATGCCAATCACTCGTAGCTTTTGGTCACGCTTGTTCTATGTATTTTTAGATGAATGCGTAGTTTTTGTGATTTGATCTGGCAGGATCTCAGATCTCAAGGCCTTACATTGCTTATAACCTCTAAGAGTTTAAAAATTTACATCAACTTGCCATTCAGGTTAACCAGAGTCAGTCAGTCAGTCAGTTGCAACGTAGAACTTCGTACGTATGTACATAAGTTCATGTTGCCATACCACATTATTAGCACAGAGACGCAAATATCAAATCAAATCCCACAGTGATAAAGATAGTAGAGGTATTAATGTTAATAAAGAAGACTAAGGTTTAAGATATTATTCAAAAAATATAATTCAGTGAGATAAGGTTAGAAAGACAAAGGTAGAGGTGCTGGCTAATCCAGAAGATTAGGATTTGAGAGAGCTCAAAGAGTGGATGCACCTGCGCCATTGCAAACGATTTTGAGCCATGTCGTTCAAGGTCTCTAACCATTGATGACTTTCGTCTCGCGGACCCCAACCAGGTAGTCTACATCTACCAACATGACTCAGTCCACTTGTCAGTGACTTCATGGATTTCTGCCATGTTTTGGTCTGGCCGCCCCTAACTTTCTTCCAACCTACTCCTACACCACAAAACATAGCTCGTCGAGGCAGTCGGTGGATAGGCATACGTAACACATGTCCCAACCACCTCAACTGATGAAGTTTCACCACTTCATCTGCCATCGTTACCTAGTACTCGTTTCCTAACGACAGCATTGCTTACTCGGCTGTCCCACGATATACGAGCAATGCTTCTTAAACATCTATGATCGAATACTAGCAACCTACGAACATCTTCTACTCTTAACGGACATGTTTCACAGCCATATAGGAGAACGGAGCGAACTGCTGCGCAGTACACTCGTCCTTTGGTTAGCAAACGGGTATCACGCCTACACCATAAGTGACGCAGGTTGGCAAAAGCCAATCGAGCTTTCTGTATCCGAGCTGAGATTTCGTCAGTCACCAGACCGTCAGCACTGATGAGACTCCCCAGATAAGTGAAGTGGTCAACACGCTCGACTACTTCACTCCCTATCACTAGTTCAGGTGCCGATGCAACCCAATCTTGAAGCAACATTTTGCATTTCGAGGGGGAAAACCGCATCCCTTACATGCTTGCATTGTTGCTTGTGGTAGTCAGAAGACTCTGCATTTTGTCAGCGTCTTCACCGAATAGAACTATGTCATCGGCATATTCTAGATCAGTAAGCGACTTTCCTGGTAGAAGGTCAACCCCTGAAAAATATGACGAGCTTAATGTTAACTCTAAGAGGATGTCTACGACAAAGTTAAACAAGAATGGAGAGAGTGGACAGCCCTGACGGACAGCACTTGATGTAGAGAATTCAGATGACAGTTCGCCATATGCTCTCACCCGTCCAGTGGTGTTCGAGTAGAGTGCTTGTATAAGGTTAATGTACTTCTTTGGTACACCTTTCAATGACAGACACTGCCACAGAACCTCACGATCCACTGAGTCGAATGCCGCCTTAAGGTCCAACAACATGACTATTGTCGGACGTCTAAATGTGTGTCTGTGTTCCAGGACCTATCGTAGTGTGAAGATGTGGTTTATACAACCACGTCCAGGTCGAAAACCAGCCTGGTTTCCTCGAGTCTGCTCTTCACGAGCTCTAGTTAGACGTCTAAGTATAATCGAGGCTAACAATTTAGAAACTATATTAGTTAAACTTATTCCCCTGTGATTGTCACAAGAGGACTTCTGTCCTTTCTTGTAGATTGGGACAATTAGCGACTGAGACCAGTCAGATGGGATTACGTCCATTTCCCAGATTCTACCTAGGATCTCGGTCAGTCTAACCGTTAAAACTGGACCACCATCCTTAAACATCTCAGGGGTAAGCCTATCGGGACCTGCCGCTCTACCTCCCCTTAGATTTCCTATAGCTTTCTCAACTTCATGTAAACTGGGAGGACTTAAATCGATTTGCCATTCAGGATGACTGGAGATCGTGGGTAACCGAAGAGTGGCTCGTGGCCAGTTGAACTGATCCCTAAAGTGTTCTGCCCATCGGTCCAGCCTCCTAGATTGAGAATGGATAATAAGACCATCCTTTTCCGAGATAGTCTCACTCACATTCGGGTTCCTAATACCGGTTTCTTTAATAAGGCGGAAAAGTTGTCTAGTGTTGCCTATCGCCGCTGCCTTTTCCATCGCTTTTGCTTTCGCCACCCACCACTGTTCACGGTCGTTACGTAGGCTTTTTATAAGTCTGCTCCTAAGCTGACTACGCTCTTCATCATGTTCAGAGTCAGGTGGGATGCGTTTTCGAGCATCCATCAGTTCGGTGGATGCGACTGAAATCCACTGCTTCATCCTAGCCTTGTGGTTTACCTTGCTAGCAGATACCATTGCTGTTTCCACAGCCTTCTTGATATGATTCCAACCTGCTTCAGGATGGGAATCACTTGCATGGCCGCCTAACTGTTTTTCTAGTTCCTCCTGAAATATTTTCTTAGCTTGATTATCATCAAGTAAAGCCCTAAGAGGCTTCCTTACGGTGTCTTTCCTACGTCCAGCAAGCCTCAAACAAATACGTGCTCGCACTAGGGCATGATCTGAATCTAAACATGTGCCCCAGAACGAGCGACAATCCTCTATCGAACCCCTCCATCGGTGGCTGATGGCGATATGATCTAGTTGTGTCCAACGTTGAGACGACTTCGGGGGTCGCCAGGTCAAAAGATGTTTTTCCTTATGCTTAAAATTAGTGTTTGCTAGAAATAGTTGGTTATCTGAGCACAGTTGCAACAGACGGTCGCCATTGTCTGTTCTTTGACCTGCGACACCATAACATCCACCTAGGTGTCTTTCATTTTCACTTAGTCTACCTACTTGTGCATTGAAGTCACCAGCCATTATAACTATATCAGAGCGCTTAACTTTTTGGAGGAGGTCCGAAAGCTTTCTGTAAAACTCATCTTTTACATCATCTGGGGTGCAGTCAGTGGGGGCGTAGGCTGATATGACGAAGAGGCAACGGCGAGTGTCCCTATCTTTCCGAGTCCTTACTGTCCCGTTCAGTCGGACGGCGCACAAGCGACTATCTACAGGGATCCAGTCAAGGAGAGATTGTTCTGCCCTACGACTCAATGCTATACCTACACCGGCGAGGCCCCTAGAAGCAGCATCAGGGCTACCGGATACACGAAGGGTAAATCGAGCTGCTTCTTTATCTTGACATGGTGAGGTCAAATGAGTGATGCTACTCGGATCCTGTATGCGCGTTTCCGAGACGCAGCATGCATCGATGGAACGAGATTCTAAAGTCCTAGCTAATGATGCCTGTTGCCCTATTTGACACAATGTCCGTACATTGAATGCTCCAACATGTAGTCTAGAACGGGGTTTAAGGAGACCAGGAACGTCGTTTCGCAAACTCGCATCGTTTGCATTAGGTGTGCACTGTAATAAATGAATGTGAGAAGAGTTAGTCGTGGAGATAAGAGAGGTATTAGGGAATGTAGGAAGGATTTGATTTTGAACAATTTGGTCTCGTGTGCTGTTGCGGGTATGAGGGCGGTTGTCACTTCCCGGCTGCCCACACCGTGGAAGGTTGTTTCTTGACGAACCTGAAAAGGAAGATGGATTAGTGTTGGCGCGTGACCGCAGAGTCCAAGGGACAACTGCTTGAGGCCTGTCACGCACGGCCTTTTTATGAAATGTTTTTTGAGGATTAGCTCCGTTCTTAAAGGCCCTTAGTGGGCACCCTTACCCAAGGAGACGGAAATCCGTGAGTTAGGGGAGGTGTGACATTTTTAGGGCCGACCTTTTCTAACCCTTCGTTTCTTGTGAGAAGGCAGCATCGCTGCAGATGCTGGTTGTCCGAGGGAAACACCTTACTGCTGTCACACCCCTCTGCAGTCAGCAGTACGACTTCGCACTCAGACCTTGAGTAGCTGCTTTTAGTCTCATCGTTCTCCAATCGACCTGCCTGGCATGGTAGGACCTGCAGGAACATGTGTTCCAGCCAGTATAGCTCGGTTGGGTCATCACGATAGGCAAGCCCGACCACCACGTCAAGGTAGCAGCTTCGGTCGGGAGGTTAACCAGAAATCGTGGGTAACTGAAGTGTGGCTGAAGACTAGTTGAAATGCTCCCTAAAATGTTCTCATCGATCCAATCTCCCAAATTGATAATGGATAATAGTCTCATCTTTTTCCGAGATAGTCTCACTAACAGTTGGATTTAGAACACCGGTTTCCTTGATAAGTTTGAATAGTTGTTTACTGTTACGTATTACTGCCGCCTTTTCCATCTCTATTGCTTTCTCTACCCACCATTGTTCGCGATTGTTGGGCAAGCTTATCAGTTTCTGCTTGAGCTGATTTCGCTCTTCATGCTCTTCAGAGCCAGACGGCATGAACTTCCAAGCATCTGTCTGTACAGTCGGTGCTAATGGAATCCACTGCTTTCCCCTAACCTTATAGTTTACCGTACTGGCAGGTATCACTGCTGTTTCCACACATACGTGGTTGCCTACCTGTTTTACTAGTTGCATTCCAAATATACTCTTGGCTTTGTTATCGTTAATTAGAACTCTAAGAGGTTTCCTCGCGGTGTCTTTTCTGCGTCCAGTAAGCCACAGACAAATAGGCACTAGCACTGAAGCGTGATCTGAATCTAAGCATTTATTCCAGATTGAGCGACAGTCTTCTACCGAGTCCCTTCATCGGTGGCTGATAGCGATGTGATCTAGTTGGGTCCAGCCAGGTCAAGGGATGCTTTTCGGTATGCCTAAAGTTAGTGTTTGCTAGAAATATGCGATTATCTGAGCATAGTTGCAGCAGACGGTCGCCATTATCTGTCCTTTGAGACGCGACACCATAAGATCCATCCAGGTGTCTTTCCTTTTCACGTAGTCTATGTATTTGAACACTGAAGTTACCAGCCATTATTACTATATCAGAGCGCCTAACATTTTTTCTGTATTTCGCCATGAATATTTTTGTTTTCAAGGATACTGTTCTGAAAATTATCCGCAATGAAGGTGTTTTATCTCTTTGGAGTGGACTTTCGCCAACACTGTAAGTTAGAATTATTATTTAGACACTAATAATACTTTATTATGACCGCAGTGTTATGACGCTTCCTCAAACTGTTATCTACTTCACTGTCAATGATTGGTTAAAATTTCATGTTGGATATACTTCAAAAACCGTTAATCAATCATCAGTCAGGACAAATGAATCTACGCAAAACTTCATCTCCACAAGACATTTTCTACCTCCTTTAGTTGGAGGCATATCTCGAATTTTCGCCGTAGTGGCTGTATCACCGATCGAATTATTACGTACAAAAATTCAAGCTAAAAAAGTACTCTATCGAGATATAACCGAATTAGCTGTTACAACAGTTAAACAGGTATATTGCTATGTGTTTCGTTTATATAGTTTCTTTGTGTGTGTGATAAAATAACTTTTGATGTTAACGTTTTTTTTTAAACGTACTGTTACAGACCAATAAGCATTTACGATTAGAAATGAGGATACCTAACTTGCTAGCCATATGTTTAATTTATTTATTTATTCAGAGTTTTGATTAACTCGGGTTTTAATACCAACTTAATTATTATAACTCAGTTTTCAGATAAAATATTCATCTGGACGTGTTATACTAGTCAGCTTTGTAATCTGAAGGTGATATGTGACTGAAATCGTAGACTTTTTTCACTGAACTCCAATTCGTTCTGCTATTGAAATCACTCCCCAGTTGAGAAGAAAGTATATTGATTATGACTTTTGAACGTAGTTTAATATATTGTTGTGATAACTGTTCTACTGAGAACAACACATATAAGTGAACAATATTGTTTTCGACTAGATCACATAAACGTAATGTGAAAAGTTTGTGTCCAACTCAGTTATCAATCTTTCGAGATCGTAGTAATCAACCTGACTGCAAATAGTTTATAGCAATCAAGTTGCTAATAGTCAGCCATAAGGTAGAACTTCATACGTACGTACGTACATCAGTTCAAGTTGCTATACCACACTAGAACAGAAACGCAATTGTCAATTCAAATCCTATATTAGTAGAGGTGGTAGAAGTAATAACAGTAATCAGAGAGATTAGGGTTCGAGGATTTTATTCGAGAAGTAGAATTTGGTGAAATAAAGTTAAAAAGAGAAAGATGACGAGGAATTCAGAAGATAAGAATTTGAGAGATGACAAACAATGGATACAGCTGTGTCATTGCAAACGATTTCAAACCATATTATTCAATGTCTCTAACCATCAGTTAGTATCATCTTGCTGACCCCAACCAGGTAGTCTACATTTACCAACATGACTCAGCACACTTGTCAGTAGCTTCATGGATTTGTGCCATGTTTTGATTTGACCTCCCCTATATTTCTCCCAACCACCTCAACTTATACCCTTTTCCTAACAACAGCATTGCTTAGTCAGTGCTTCAAAAACACCTGTGTTTGAATACTAATAGTCTAAAAATGTCCTCTACTCTTAATGGCCTGTTTCACAGCCGTAAAGTAGGACGGCGCGAATTGCTGCGCAGTAGATTCGTCCTTTAGTTAGCAAACGGATATCTCGCCTATGCCGTGAGTGGCGCAAGTTGGCAAAAGCCAATCAAGCCTTCTATATCCGTGCTGAGATTTCGTCAGTCATTAGGACATTGATGAGACTCCTCAGATAAGTGAAGCGATCAACTCGCTCAACTACTTCACTCCCTATCACTAGTCCAGGTGCTAATGCAAGCCAATCCTGAAGTAACGTTTTGCATTGGAAGTGGGAAAACCGCAACACAGACGTGCTTGCATCGTCGCTTAGGGTGATCAGAAGACTGTATTTTGTCAGCTGCATATTCTTAGTCGATGTAGATAAAAAAAAATCCCAAACCATTATCCTATCACAGCTGTTTCGACCAAACAATACTCGTTGACAAGTTCCACTCTGGCAGTCACTTTGTAAGATGCTACAAGTGTCATCTTTACCATTTTCTTTTAAGTACTCAAATTCAAATAATATTTCTTAAAACTATTTTTTTAAACGTAATTCTAAATGTACTACTTTATTGCCAAAAAGGATGGTTTAAAAAGTCTATGGTTAGGCGCTGGACCAACTCTTTTACGCGATGTCCCATATTCTATGATATTTTGGTTAACTTATGACTATATGAAATCAGGATTTATCAATAAACAGACGAAGACAAATCTATTGTCGAATAATAAATCATCTACCACTCACGCAGGAATTCCTTTCTCGCATGCATTTGGTTTTGGAGCAGTTGCTGGGTTTGTAAGTTACTGACTCATTATTTATTTTTTTTTATATGATGTAAGACTTGTTTAGAATAATACGGTAACTGCTTAATGTACTAAAGTGGAAAAAAATGCCTTTTTTTTTATAGAGGATTTCATAAGTTTTACCAATTTCATACTCATTGAAAGAAACATTCTTCATTGGGAGTTGTTGACTGCGTGCATGTGCATTTTAGGCTTTAATACTTGATCATAAGTAATTTAATGGTTAGATTGTAAATTACTTCAACTGGTTCATCATTCAGTTTAACATTTGACTTTGTAGGTTGACGATTTCAGTAACCGATTACTTAGATGTAATATTCTATTGTATTCGAATAACTGTTTTCAGTGAATTTAACCTTGATCTTTGTACTTACGCTTGTTACCTCTCGTAGAGTTATAGGCCACCGACCAGTGGTCTTCAACCCACTCTATCCTGAGCTCTCTTCTTTCCATCTATTTTCAAGTGCTATTCATCCGTTTTAATGTCTGCCTCCAATTCCCGGTGCATTGTGTTCTTCTGTCTTACTTCTTTCCCTTTTGGCCTCGAAGGTTCGAGGTTACGGCTTGCTGTGCAATGCAATTCAGTGGTTCTCGCAATATGTTTCCTATCCACCCCACTCCCATGTCTTTTTTTCTAATTTCCTCTCTAGCTGTAAAGTTAGTTTGTCCCCTAAAACAGTAGATTAAAACTCTACCAATTTCCAATTCAGAAAGTTCCTAGCTTATAGTTTTGTTTTATTCTGTCTTCAAATCTATACTAATGTATAAAGTCTGTAACCAGTATATACTTTTATTGAAATTCCATCTTTTTATCGTGAAACATAGTAAAATGTTAAGCATTCATGATTTGGCATTAAAAATACAACCTAAAAAACTAAATTAATAGTCAAGTCAGTAATAACAGTATAAAAACAATCATATACTTGATTACGTACTAAGTTTTACTACAAATAGTACTGCCTGGAGTTTTTCTACACATCTAAATCTATGACAGTGTAAGTAAAAGTTAGCGCGATGAAAGTATTTGTTTTTATCAAAACTAACTGGGTGATCCTGCCAGTAGTCATATGCTTGTCTCAGAGATTAAGCCATGCATGTCTAATTACATACCTTAATACGGTGAAACCGCGAATGGCTCATTAAATCAGCTATGGTTCCTTAGATCGTAAACGCTACATGGATAACTGTAGTAATTCTAGAGCTAATACATGCCTTGAATCCCTGATCCGTAAGGGGACGGGTGCATTTATTAGAACAGAACCAACCGGATGCGGCTTCGGCTGTGCCTGTTACATTCTGTGATGACTCTGGATAACTTTTCTGATCGCAGTCGGCCTTGTGTCGGCGACGGATCTTTCAAATGTCTGCCCTATCAATTTGTTGGTAGGTGATTTGCCTACCATGATGATAACGGGTAACGGGGAATCAGGGTTCGATTCCAGAGAGGGAGCCTGAGAAATTACCCACTCCCGGCATGGGGAGGTAGTGACGAAAAATACGGATACGGGACTCAGTTGAGGCTCCGTAATTCGACTGAGTACAATTTAAATCCTTTAACGAGGACCAATCGGAATGTTGCTCCTATCAATGAATAATTCTATTTTTCTTATAGGATATTATATATTATATAACATCATTTTAACCTCTGAATTGTTACATACTGCATGCAAACTGTAGGGGATGTTAGATCCCCAGAACTCGCTTCATAAAAGTCCTATTTTGGTTTTTATGCTCTCATGTATGGGTTGATCAGTTGACCTTTAGATTACATTTCCCACCCGGAAAATCCTTGATCGTCATTGGTTGATGTGTTATTGTAGTAAGCTATATTGTGGCTCACTCCAAGACGTTCCTATCATGTATAAATAAACTCGATTTGTGTTCTTGTGAACCTCATATCTCTTGAGTGCTTGTAGATTACCCTATCTACGCCACATCAAGACTTCTTCCTCTATTTAGTGAGGCCATGGGATGCTCGGATTAGAGTGACCTATCATGTCACTGGATGATCATATGTCTTCGCTCTCGTTTACTGACTAAGGTGAACTCGTAATAGTTTCAAGTATATCAATTGTAACGAGCATAACACAAATATTATTCTTAATTTTTTTTTTAGATCTCGGGCGTATTAACACATCCATTCGATGTCATTAAAACACACAAACAAGTTGATTTTGGAAAGCATTCATTTGCACTAAGTAAGTTGATTAGAACAATTATGGGCTTTTAATGTAGTAGTAGTCGTTTTTGTGCATAAAAATCACAATAACCGGTTTGATTTGTCTGTAATTTCATACTCATCAACATCAATCCTATTAAAGTTGAGAGAACCGGAAATCAATTAGCACAAAACGTTATGAATAGTAAATTGCTTATATTTTCCAAACTGTTTTTTTGAATACAGTTTAAATGGCAGAAATCCATGAAGTCACTGACAAGTGGACTGAGTCATGTTGGTAGATGTAGGCTACCTGGTTGGGGTCAGCGAGACGATAGTCATCGATGGTTGGAGACCTTGAACGACATGGCCGAAAATCGTTTGCAATGGCGCAAGTGCATCCACTCTTTATGTTCTCTCAAATCCTGACCTTCTGAATTCCCCATCATCTCTATCTTTCGCTTTCTTAATTTATCTCACTGAACTATATTTCTCGAATCATATCTTCGCTCCCTAATCTTCTCCATTACTGCTAATAATACTTCTACTATCGCTACCGTTATTGGATTGAACGGACAGTTTCGTCTCTGTGTAACCTGAACTGATGTACGTACGTACGAAGTTCAACGTTGTAACTAACTGACTGACTGACTGACTTAAATAATATTCTGTTTATTAAGATTAATGTGTCATTGGTAGTTTATTTATTAAGAAATTAGCGATCTAATACCTAATCACAGTTATAACCAACATGAACCTTTGAATAAAAAAATGCATCTACCCATGTCAGAATAAGTAGACAAATGATAGTTGGAAATACAGTTTGAGAAAATGGAATGAAGATAGTATATCCGAAAGAGTACCATAATAAAATTTAAAGATAAAAAGTGAATGTATTTGTGCCTTTTTGACTGCTTCTATCTAAGCTATGCTATATCCAACGTATAGGTATTAGGCAAGGATGGTAGATCAATAGATGAAGTACTGAAACTTCATCAGTTGAGGTAGTTGGGACATTTGTTACATATGCTCAACCACTGACTGCCGTGACGAGCTATGTTTTGTGGTGTAGGAATTAGTTTGGAAAGCTAGGGGCGGCCAAACCAAAACACGGCACAAATCCATGTAGTCATTGACAAGTGGACTGAGTCATGTTGGTAGTGTGGTGCGCGCTGCTTATAAGTAGTATATGACGCGAGTGAAAACGTAATGTCTGGCAGCAGAAGATGGAGGGGAAGATCAAGAAAGGAAGAGTGGGGAACACAATGGAATTTGTATGAAACGCATGAATAGTGAAATGTCAGACAATGGATTGATGATGGATTGAAGATTTGCAAATTAACAGTTACGATATGGTTTTCCTATTTTACTGAGTAACTCTGTAATTTTCGTTAAATACAATTCGGTTGCCCTCACCTGTGTTCTCCTTCACTACAGTAGATGTAGGCTACCTGGTTGGGGTCCGCGACACGAATGTAATCAACAGTTAGAGACCTTGAATGACATGGCTCAGAATCGTTTGCAATGGCGCAAATGCATTCATTCATTGTGTTCTCTCAAATCCTAAACGTTTTGTTTTTAAGTTTATTTCACTAGATTCTACTTCTTGAATAATATCTTCTAACCCTAATCTCTCCGATTACTGCTAATACCTTTTCTACCTCTACTACTATGGGATTCGAATTGACAATTACATTTGTGTGCTAATATGGTATGGCAACGTGAACTAATGTACGAAATTCTACGTTGTGTCTGACTGACTGACTGAATTGGATTGTTCATATCGCTTCTATTCAAGTTGTTTGGTAGTGATAAGCAATTACAAGCATTTGTATTGTTCCCTCAACACTTGTATAGTTTATACTTAACGCACACATATTCAATCTTTAAGCATGTCTATTTCCTTTTTGTTATCTTAATATGATTAGTAAATTACCCATCACATTAAAAAAAAGAAAAACATTTGATTAATCGATTGATTGATCTTCACTTTTTTTGTGATTAATCATCCCTTAATCCTTATAGATCATCTTCATCCAACATCAACATGGACATCATTACATAATTTGTATATTAAAAATGGTCTTCCTGCATTGTTTTCTGGTAAGTGTTGTTGGTTGATTAACAAGATGGTGGCGTATTGTTTTTCTTTTCTTTTCAGTACACATTCATATTGTTCAAATTGAGTTTTGAATAGATATTAAATTGATCAAAGCCTTAACTGACATCTTTTCGTTATACTAAACGAAGAGAATTCAACATTGTAGTTTAGTTTAGAACACAGGCCGCCGACCAGTGTCCTCCTACCTATCCTGTTCCAGAACTTCCTTTCCAGTACTACCCAATTGTTATGCATTCTTTTCATGTCTGGTTCAAATTGTTGGGGCATTATGCTTCTTGGTCTACCTCTTCTCCTTGGACTTTCGTCAATTTCTGTTCTATCTACTTCCAATGCCTCTTCCTCAACTGAAATGTAGTTTGTTCTCTCCCACAATAGGTTGTTGATGATAGTGTCTGGCCAATGGATTTGAAGTATTTTGCGTAGACAACTGTTAATAAACACTTTTTTATCTTCTGGATGATAGCTTTCGCAGTCTTTCAAGTTCCCGCCCAATACAATAGAACTGTGTTTTGACATTTGTTTCAGAGATTCTGACTTTGGTTGGTTGGCTGATAGTTGTTTTGGATTCCAGATGTTGTTCAATCGTAGACATGCAGCCCTTGCTTTGCCGATGCGCATCTGCACATTTGCATGAGATCCCACTTGCTCATTAAAATGATGCCACCCAGATATGCACAGGTTTTCACACCTTCCAAAGCCTCACCATCAATTGTGATTTGGTTGGCGCATGTTGTGGTGGTTCGGAGAATCTTGCTTTTCCTTTTGTGTGTTGAGACCTACTGCTGCTGGTGTTTGTATGACTTAATCCAATGCCATATAACAACATAAACAGTTTACTGTTATTTCCGCTTAAAATAGATATGTGTATGTTGAGATATCTGGAAGTAAAAATTTGACCACAAATACAAATACGAAAATAATAACACGACTAGAATCTTGATATCATGATTATTCTCTTCAATTGGTTAATAAAGTTCAAATCTTTGTTCTTTCTTTCTCTTCAAAATGATAAATGGAATTATGTGTTTGAAATGTCTGAAAAAAGTTTCAAGTTTCAGTTATTTCTGTTGTGTAGCATTCTAAGATTGCTACTCCACTCGATCGATTCTTAAATGAGGACACAGCTTGATTAAAAACGTAATTATATTCCAAAACAAACCATGTCGGATGAGAGTTAATTACGATAAAACCTTCGGCCGACTTGATCAATCAATAAGAAAACGCTGTCTAGTTATGCAACAATCAACGATAAATTAGCAATGAAGAATAGCTATGGTCTGTATAACTACTAACCATCTCATGTCAAATTATCCCTTGTAGTAAATTACATTGGTCAAGTTTACACATAAGGAATCGGACTAGTGTTATGTGCTAGGATTATCACCTGACATTAGTTATAATGTAAAGAGATTAAGGTTACGTATTACGACGAACTAGGCGGGAGATGTAATAATGAAGGTTTTCATTACGAACCGACGTCAGCTACGGTACAAAAATGTTGTTTAGCTTTATGCATCAATGTATTCCGCGTCAAAATCCAATACTCGTCGTTTTAAATCTAATTGTTTCTGATATGTGTGTATGGCAGTAAGAGGAAACTGTGATTGGACAAATAGGTACAACCTATTGACTATTAAATATGTGATTTCATTTCCTCTTATTGACTTCTACTCTGGACTCATTGAATATGACTTCTTGTAAATTGTATGGAATAGAATATTGTAATATTGTTTATACTGGTTGTCTATATTAGTCATCGATTGAGTATGTTAAATAACATGACCTAGTCTCTGTGTGGTATACCATTCGAATATCCAATTCAATCGTAATATAAATTTGGTCACGCTTTTTTTCAACTCGTAGCATGTAATACAGTGAATATAAAATAAGGCATCCAATATTCCCGTTATTATCTGGTTCGTCCATTTAGTCAAGTGAAAACGACTGATTAGTTTGATGATACTTGAACGACGTGATTTCATATGCGTTTACATACACAACGACGTCAGTCAGCAACAACGTAGAACCTATGTACATCAGTTCATATTGCTTTAACACATTAGCTCACAGAGAGATCGAATTGTCAATTCAAATCCCATAATGGTAGAGATAGTAGAAGTATGAGCAGTAATCAGAAAGATTGGAGTTCAAAGACGTTATTCAAAGAGTGTAATCTAGTGAAACAAGTTTGAGAAGAGAAACACAAAGGTGATGAAGTATCCAGAAGATTATAATTTGATAGAACACAAAGAATGGATGCACCTGCTCCATTACAAACGATTTTGAGCTATGTCAGTTGTAGACATATGTCATTGTTCATGTATTCATACTTAGTCTAGTTACATCACACAGTCGGTTTATGTTGTAACGCTTGCTTATATAATCCCCAGGCTAATTCCTATTGCTTAGTATTATCTGACCACAATACACTCGACAAGTTCCCAAGAATCAAAACACGGTTGAACAGGAAAGATTATATTCCAAGTAGCAAGGTTAGATGGAATACAAAGCCAAGGCTGATGGCGAAGGCAAAAATAGATACAACGTTAGTCTATTTATAGCATTTACATGATATGCTTTTGGATAGAAATACACGTGATCGACTGGATTAGATTTAACCAATCAGCACGCAGCTAACAGTACGAGAATCTTCTATCCTGTTCTCCAAGATTCGATCAGGCGCTGATTGGACAGGAAATTAGCCAATCAGCGCGCAGCAACCTGATCATGCTTTAATTCAATCTATGTGCCACTAACAGTATATTCTTATTTTCTTTTCTTTACAGGTTTCACACCGAGACTCATTAAAACAACTAGTGCTTCTGCAATTATGATTGCAGTTTTTGAAAGTTTAAAAGAAAAAGTTGTAAATATTGGAACAAGTTAAATGAAGAAAGAAGACACAAAAAACAATGTCAACATCTCTTCGTTGTTGTCTATTAAATAATACATCAGCTTATTTCCCTTTCCAGTTTTTTTTTGTTCTAAATTTCGTTGTTGCAAATCAAACAAACAAACAAACCAGATTGATCATTTTAACCTTTATTTGTTCTAGTTTTTAGTAACGACAATATTGAGAATAAAATGATTTTTTTTTGCAATCAATGTAGTTCATTTTAAAAAACATTCTTAATTGTAACAAGAAGATTTAACTGAGAAAATGTAACTGGGGAATAGTTGAGTATCAAACTAGGAAATGTTTGCTTTCTTTTGTCATTTGAATCACGGACTAACAACCATTGAAGGTCTGGGAGTGTTGAATAGTTGTTTCATTGTAGTTCGGGATCGCTCATCAGTGCGCATGTATGATACTACTTGTAAGGATCTAGATTATGGCGTAGGCGAGAGATCCGTTTGCTGACTAAAGGACGAGTGTACTGTGTGGTAGTTCGCTCCGTCTTACTTTATGGCTGTGAAACATGGCCAATAAGAGTAGAAGATATTCGTAACTTACTTGTTTTCGATCGTAGGTGTCTTCGAAGCATTGCTCGTATATCCTGGAACTTCCGAGTGAGTAATGCTATTGTTAGGAAACGGGTGCTAGGTAAGGATGGCAGATCAATAGATGAAATATTAAAACTTCAGCAGTTGAGGTGGTTGGGACAAGTGTTACGAATGCCCAAACACAGACTCCCTCGACGAACGATGTTTTGTGGTGTAGGAGTACGATGGGAGAAAGCTAGGCTCTGTCGATGCAAAGCAGCACACGAATTCATGAAGTCATTAACAAGTGGACTGAGTTATGTTGGTAGGTGTCGACTACCTGATTTTGGCTCACAAGATGGTTAGAGACCTTGAATGACCTCTACAACTATGGGATTTGCAGTGACAATTGCATCTCCGTGCTAATGTGCTTTGGCAACTTGAACTGATGTATGTACGTACGTACGTATGAAGTTCAACATTGTAACCAACTGACCGACAGTTTTTGCCTTCCACAGATAGATGTCATATGTCACAACTAACTATCTCATTGACAAAGAACCTCACTAGTTTAAGTCCATTATTCTAAAAACACTATTCAAAAACTTTATCTTCATTTTGCGATCAGGTTTCATTGTGTAAATCTCAGTAAACTGAATGATATACATTCTCATGTCTTATGAAAATGTCATATGGTTTCACATGACTTTCCACTTAATAAAATGTACAGTGATATCATTTATTGACCAATTCATAAATTATTTACAGCAAGAATATATATACTATACATATTACTTATATAATACTTAAATTCAACCATATGTCAATTCATAATCTTCATGTTTCCATTCATGATATAATGTATTATGACCTTCTTCCCAAAGACTAACAGAGCCGCATATCATTGCTCCACCTAAACATAAATTCCCATCATAAAATGCACACCATTGTCCTGGTGCAATACAACGCATTGGTACTTCTAATTCAATAGATAAACATGGTCCAATCATTCGGTTGTTGTTGTTGCTGTTGCTGTTGTTATCTTCAATTGACGTATCAATTACACTAGCCAATGCTAAATCATTGTCTTCTACATTCGAAAGACAACGACGTTGCATGTTTTTTTTCACGTAAGCTGATGCTAAAGGCAAATCATTGAATGGTTTCAGAATACACTTCACTGGACGCCATTTATTTTGCCATTGAAATTGAATAGTTCTTGAATTTATCGATGAAAATGATTCAGAATTAATCCAAACTGCAGGACCAGACCAACATTTACGCATAAATAAACTTGGATGAGCTGGATCACGTACCTAAAAAATAATGATAGGTAAAAGTTTGAATTATTTTTTTCTGGTTAGCGTTTTTTTGGCAAGTTAGTTTTAGTTCGGATGGGGGCGCCAACCCCTCCTCCTTTAGCTGGGCTCGAGACCGGCACTAGCCCCGAAGGGACTACTGGCGGAGTTATAGGTAAAACTGCAAACAAAAATAATCAATGATCTTTATTGTATTTTCGGGAAGAGTTTTGGAGGTTTGTGTTTTTTACACATTTTTGAAATCATCAATCAATCATTGTTAGACTACCATTATAAACCTGGAAGCACTAACAGACGGCCGTTTCGTCCTGGTATGTGACTCATCATCAGTGCGCATCCACGACTCTTGTGCCTCGCAGGATTCGAACCCGGGACCTTCGGTATTGTGCGCGAACGCCTAACTATCGGACCACTGGGCCGACATCCAACGGTGTTAATGTCTAACTCTGATCAATCTACAGATTTTATGCGACCTCACCCATTTGTCTTTGGTAGTTACTGCCTACACCCGACAGGGTTGAACTACATTGGTCACGTCTTCTCACCCTAGAACTCCGAGAATTTCCTCACGAAGCTAGTCACTAGTGAGCACTGTTACGATATTTTCGGGCAGAGTTTTGGAGGTTTGTGTTTTTACACATTTGAAATCATCAATCAATCATTGTTAGACCACCACCATTAGAAACCTGGAAGCACTGAAAGACGGGCGTTTCGTCCTAATATGGGTTTTGTACGTGCACTGAGCGATTATTTCACAGCATCAATATACAGTGAATGGAACTACATCTATCTATCCTCTTTTTGTCCAACTTAACTAAAGTGCGACGTTCAATTTCTTACATAGAAGTTTTGGTGATTAAAACAAAGACCTTAGAAGAATGAAATTGCATTCCAGTTAGACATTTACAGAATGATTAACATATCTATAATTGAGAGAGGATTTTATGAATAGCGCAATTGTTATTTTTTTTCAAAAATCCATTAAAAATTGACCTCGGATTCACCTTGAGTGGAGGATATTGATTTTACTCTTTGTCAAAAGTTATCCTTGAAGATTTTACACACCCAATAAATGTTACATTTTGCAATAATCAACATTTAATCCCTTTGTTAAATTGTTATTATTAATAAGGCAATCATTGTACTCTATTCGATTAACGAAATAACAGATTATCTTGTTTAGGGCAATCGACAAAATAACCTCAAATTCATGACCGTCTATATTCTAATCTTATACAGAATGCCTAGGCTTTTTCAAAATACTCAATTAATTACCGTAAACAGTACATTATGTAACTAACAACTGAGTGAGATGAAACAAATGTAAAGCCACCTGAACAGCTATGGTGAAGCAGACTTACGCACATCCCGAATACCAAGGGGAGAATCAGCCCCCTTTGTGAGCTACAGACATTCCTTGTTGACGAGATCTAACTAACCCAAACCAAGCTCCTTTATCTACTAACTCCAACCACTTTACATCTCTCAGCATAGTACATACAATTTCGAGTCACCTGGACACTACTGATTACATTACTTGATCCACAGAATACGATCACCACTAACGGATCAGATAAAAAATGACGTTGGTCAGCACTCAGGGTAAGTACTATTGCTGGGGATGCTAGATTCCCAGAACTCACTTGATAAATGCCTTATTTTGGATTTCACGTTTGCGAGCATGGGCTGATCAGTTGACCTTGATATTTTATTTCCCACCACGAAAATCCATGGCTGTGATTGGCTGGTGTGTATCTTATTAGTGTGCTATTTTTGTGACTGTCCCAAGGACGTTTCTATGATATATAAATAAACGAGAGTTGTGTGCTTGATTGTATTGCGTGATTGCTGGGTGTTTGTAGAATATACTTTCAACGCTACATCAAGACTTCTATTTTGAAGTTTGGGATCAAGGTAGTCTACCTAGACGCTGGTTCATTGTCTCGTTCGCGTTTATCGACTAAGGTGAACTCATAATAGATTCAAGCGTACTTAGTGACGAACTTAACAACTATATGTATTAATGCCATTGTAAGATAATTTTAAACACAATAAAGCTTCAGCCAATAATTATGATTTTCCGGTAACAGTTCAACTAGCCTGACAAATACGAACAACAAAGGTAAAAAGAATTTTATTGAAATCATGAATCGATCAATGTAAGACCAGCAGTAGAAAGCTGGAAGTACTGGAGAGCTGTCTCACTTTAGTACAAGACTCATCAGCAGTGCACAACTGTGACCCTTGCACGGGGGGGGGACCGAACCCAAGACCTTCGATCTCGCGTAAAAACGCTGAGTCGGTATCCAATGGTGTTTATACCTAACTTCAAACAATCCATGATGTAGTAGTGGCTTAACATTAATCAATTCATGATTTTAATGAAACTTGCCAATCTCCAAAACCCTAGGAAGGCAAAAATAATTTCACTCACTACGTAAATTATTTGCTTTTGATAATCCATTTTACTAACATAATAAGGTCCATTAAATCGTTTCATAGGAACACGTTGACCCAAAGTAAAATGATGTATACCTTGAAAGGAAAACATGACCAAAAAATAAGGTTAATAATTTCTCAAGTTTATGAAGGCGAATCATGAAAATGCAACTTAATCTAGTATTTTCTAAACACAGAAAAGAAGATCGTGGTGGTGTTTCGTTCTCTGCGCTGAATGCTGTTTTGGTTGTGGAGCTTTCATAGTTCTGCAGAGCACAACATCATCAGCAAAAACTTCAGATAGAAGTAAATAAAGTATTCGAATATCTCCACATGTTTGACGCGTAGCTTGTTCTGCTAACCTCGATCGTGGTTGGTTGCTGTTGACCTAAAACCTGTCGTTGTTTGTAACTTTGTTTTGATTGTATACTCATTTTGATCTGTTTCTTGATCGTACGTTTTCCTTTGATTTTTCTGATTGGCTGATAAATTGGATCAATGTCGATGTGTTTGTTGATTGCTGACTGACCTGAGTGCCAAGCATCTAAATAAGATCATCTTTGTGTAACGCAATCTCTTTTTCCTTAGGAATGAGTTCACTGTTATATGAGAAAATCTCACAAAAGTTAGTTTTAGTGCTTATCCTTTTAAAAATCTAACAAGTTCATTGATGATAATTAAACCAAACACGATTTTTCAGCTGTATGATAATACAAAATGGTATTGTTTTATTTCAGAACACTAATATATCATCAGCCTTTTATGATGTATTAATCGTTAACAAGAATACGAATATGAGTAGAATAGTATTGGGGAAATTAGATCCCCAGAACTCGCTTGGAGAAGGTCCTAATTTTGTAATTTATTTCTGAGATTTTGGGCTTTTTCGCTCAACTTGCATTTCCCACTCGGAAAATCCTTGTTTTTGGTTGATGGATTATTTTAGTACGCTATTTTGTGGCTCTCACCAAGGTCGCTTTACAATTGTATAAATAAGCTTGAGTTGTATGCGTGTGGATCTCGTATTTTCTGGTTGCATGTGAATACATTCTCTCTACGTCTTATCAAAACTTCTTGATCTAGTTAGCAGGGCCTGAGACAATCGCATTAGAATAGCCTATCACGTCACTGGATCGTTGATTTTGGTTCCGTTTACCGAGTAAGGTGAACTCGTAATAGCTGCAAGCATATGAGATAGTATTGGTTCATAAAGGCATATAGTACCAAGGTATGTGTGTATACATAAATCTGCATAAAACATAAGCCAAGAGCAAGAAACAAGGAAGTGTATCGTTTTGACTGACTGTACTCCAGCAAACCGATTATTTCAGTGCTGAAGGAGAGATGAAATTAAGAGCAACAGTCGAAAGATTGTTTGTTATCAATTATTACAATCTTCAAAGAATAAAGTAAGATATTATAATGAATGAACGCATCTTCACTACCCTCAACTAATATGCAGCCATGTAATGTGAATTAGATAACTTCCGAATCATGAAAAGTATTGTGTAACATTGTGGTGCACGCTACTTATAAGTAGTATATGACGCGAGTGTAAACGTAACGTCTGGCAGCAGAAGATAGGGAGGGAAGATCAAGAAAGGAAGAGTGGGAACACAATCGAACTTGTATGAAACGCATGAATAGTGAAATGTCAGACAATGGATTGATGATGGATTGAAGATTTGTAAATTAGCGGTTACGATATGGTTTTCCGATTTTACTGAGTAACCCTGTAATTTTCGTTAAATACAATTCGGTTGCCCTCACCTGTGTTCTCCTTCACCACAACATGACTAAACACCTTAATAACATAATAGCTTACCTGTATGTTCATCCAAAACTTGATCAGTTTCAAGATCTTTATAAATGCCAGACCTTGGTTCTAAGTACTACAATGAAATAATAGTAAAATTTGTGTGATGCGAAAAGTATACAACAGCATTATATCAGACAGTCAGAAGTACATCAGTTCAAGTTCCCATACCACATAAGCACAGAGACTTAATTGTCAATGCTATTCTAATCCCATTACAGTAGAAATATTAGCAGTAATTGGAGTTAGGCTTTGAAGAAATCATTCAAGAAGTATAATTCAGTGAGATAATTTTAGAAAGAGAAAGATAGAGGTACTGAGGAATTCAGAAGATTACAATTTGAGAGAATGCAAACAGTGGATGCACCTGTTTCAATGCAACCGATTTTCAGACACGTCATTCACAAGTCTTAAACTATCGATTACTGTCACCTCGCGGGACCCTACCAGGTAGTAGATATCTACCGACATGACTCAGTCCAGTTGTCAGTGACTTCATGGATTTCTGCCATGTTTTGGTCTGGCCGCCCCTAGCTTTCTTCTAACCTCCTACACCGCAAAACATAGCTCGACGAGGCAGTCTGTGGTTAGGCATTCGTAACACATGTCCCAACCACCTCAACTGATGAAGTTTCAATACTTCATCTATTGGCCTGCCATTCTTACCTAGGACCTCCTTCCTAACAACTGCATTGCTTACTTGGTGATCCGAGGATGTACGAGCAATAGTTCCAAGACAAGTAGGGTCGAAACCAAGTAACGTACGAGTATCTTCTACTCTGACTGGTCATGTTTCACAGCCATAAAGTAGGACAGAGCGAACTATTGCGCAGTACACTGGTCCTTTAGTCAGCAAACGGATATCTCGTCTACGCCATAAGTAACGCAGGTTGGCAAAAGCCAATCGAGCTTTCTGTATCCGAGCTGAGATTTCGTCAGTCACCAGGCTATCGACACTGATGAGACTCCCAAGATAATTTCAAAAATGTGTAACTTAACAATCTTCACAACCCCGTTATGGAAATTACCTGTGCTCACTAGTGACTAGCTTCGTGAGCAATCTTCTCCAAGTTCTAGTGGGAAGACGTGACCGGTGAAGTTCAACCTGTTCGGGTGTAGACAGTGTCTACCGAAGACTGTGTATGAGGTTGCGCAACTCCGTGAATTGATCAAGTTAGACTTTAACACCGTTAGATACCGGCTCAGTGCTCCAACGGTTAGGCGTTCGCGCACAATACCGAAGGTCACGGGTTCGAATCCTGCGGGGTGCAGGAGTCGTGGATGCGCACTGCCACTGAGGAGTCCCATACCAGGACGAAACGGCCGTCCAGTGCTCCCAGGTTTCTACTGGTGGTCCAACATTGATCGATTCATCGTTTCAAAAATGTGTAATTAGTTTTTTGAAAAAGAAATTTCAATGTGAATAAATGAAACAAGCAACCAATAATCATAACACAACTTACATTATCAATAAATTCAGAGAATCGTCGTTTACCAATAAAACACATACCCATACTCTAAAATTAATGAAACAAATCACATGCTGTATGTGAGTTTATATAGATTTTTTTTAGAAATCTGTATATAATTTAAAAATTTCTCAAGGAATTGTCATATTGATGTGAAACTGATGACTAGCTGATTGCATTGGGATCAGAGTTCATGTGACGTCTATAATATTTCATATATTTAGTTACTTACTGACGCTTGTTATCCCCAATGGCGCATAGGCCGGCGACTGGCGATATCCAACCTAATCTGTCCTGGGCCTTGTTTTCCAGTTTTATCCAATTGTTGTTCATTCTTCCCATGGCTGTCTCCGATTCTCGGTGTAACGTCAGTCAGTCAGTCACTTACAACGTAGAACTTCGTACGTACGTACAACAGTTCAAGTCTCCATACCACATTAGCATAGTGATGCAGTTTTCAATTCAAATCCCATAGTACTAGAAATAGTAGAAGTATTGCCAGTAATGGAAAAGATTAGGGTTCGAAGATGTTATCCAAGAAGTATAATTCAGCGCAAAATCCCTAGATCAATCAGAGTTAGACGTTAACACCGTTGGATGTTGGACCAGTGGTCCGATGGTTAGGCATTCGCGCACAATACCGAAGGTCACGGGTTCGAATCCTGCGGAGTTCAGGAATCGTGGATGCGCACTGCTGATCTGTCCCATACCAGGACGAAACGGCCGTCCAGTGCTTTCAGGTTTCTAATGGTGGTCTAACAATGAATGATTGACGATTTAAAATGTGTAAAAACACAAATCTCCAAAACTCCTATTGGTCAATATTTAAGGTCATCATAAACTATCAAGTTCACATACTCCTAAATGTTGTTTCCTATTAGTTAACATCCAAGGTCGACCTAACTGTATAAATATGCATTGTCTGTAAGGTTTCATGCTTCTCTTCTTCTTCTGTACAAAGCCTTATATTTTCTAGGTGCTTGTAGAATACACTTCCTACGCCATATCACAACTTCTTCGTCAGATAGACGGGGCAACAGATTACAGTAGCCTATCGTGTCACTGGATCATTGTCTCCCTCTCGTTACCGACTAAGATGGACTCGTCATAGTTTCAAGCATAACAGATTCAAGAAGTATTATCCAGTGAAATAAATTTTAAAAAAGAGAGAAAAATTTCATGAAGAATTCAGAAGATTAGAATTTGACAAATGACAAACACTGGATGCAAATGATATTGAGTCATGTTCTTCAAGATCTCCAAACATCGGTCAGTAACATCTTGCGGACTCCGATCAAGTAGTAGTAGTAGTCTACACTTACTAACATGGCTCAGTCCACTTAGTCAGCAACTTCATGAATTTGTACCATGTTGGTGTGTGGTGCGCGCTACTTATAAGTAGTATATGACGCGAGTAAAAAAACGTAATGTTTGGCAGCTGAAGATAGGGAGGGAAGATCAAGAAAGGAAGAGTGGGAACACAATAGGATTTGTATGAAACGCATGAATAAGTGAAATATCAGACAATGGATTGATGATGGATTGAAGATTTGCAAATTAACCGTTTACGATATGGTTTTCCTATTTTACTGAGTAACTCTGTAATTTTCGTTAAATACAATTCGGTTGCCCTCACCTGTGTTCTCCTTCACTACAGGTGTTGTACATTTTTATGGATTGAAGAAACGAAATACTAATAAGCAGTCATAAACGGTCAACCATAAATAACTAGTTATGTATCATGATATAAAAATAAACATACTTCACGTCTAGTGTAAATACGCGAAAGACCAATATCTTGAGCAATTTGTTTTACTTGAGTTTTTAATAAATTTCCAACTGGAAACATACAGTGTGAAAGTTGTTTATGAGAAATCTAGAATTTGTATTTTTTAGAAAGAAAGTAAGAAAAATAAACTTAATTATCTAGTTGAATGATTTTTTTTAGAGAAAAATAACCTGTTTGATTGATAGTTAGTAATTGAAGCAATTGAAGTCAAAAGTGAGATACTGTGGTGCTGTGGTGCGAGCTACTTATAGGTAGTATATGACGTGAGCGTCAACGTAATGTCTGGCAGCAGAAGATGGGGGGAAGATCAAGAGAAAGGAAGAGTGGGGACACAATGGAATTTGCATGAAACGCATGAATAGTAGTGACAATGGAATGATGTTTTGCAACAGGAACAGTCCAGTTCAATATGATGAACTGATATTTTGCAAATGAACGATTTACGATATGGTTTTCCGATTTTACTGAGTAACTCTGTAATTTTCGTTAAATACAATTTCGGTTGCCCCACCAGTGTTTCTCCTTCACTACAATACTACTGATATAATGATAAGTAGAATGAGTTTAATATAGTTGACATTTAACAACTATTGGACGAATGGTTTCAAGTGCTAATGTTTTAATGTAACAGTTGAATGATTAACAATCACCTTAGATTTTAATCAATAGCTTGTAGATTTGGAATTCTGATAGTCAGTCAGTCAGTCAGTCAACAAGAACATAGAACTTCATTCGTACGTACATCAGTTCAAGTTGCCATACCATATTAGCACAAAGAGATGCAATTGTCATTTCAAATGATATTTTAGTAGAGGTAGTAAAAGTGTGCAGACAAATATGATCGGAAACCAGCAACCTACGAATATCTGGTAGTATCAGTAGTCCATCAACAATTAAGTAAGGATTCACAATACTGTTAATGTTAACTTATCCTTATTACATAATTTCTATGTTATGATGTTTCAGCTACTTAGATATGAATAAACAATTGAAATTATCAACTAAAGAACAATGAATGCAGCTAGTAGTTTGGTTTCTGAACAAATAACACATCAGCCTACTTACTTAGTTACGCCTGTTACCCTTAATGGAACATGCCTTGTCGAGCTATGTTTTGTGGTGTAGGAGTAGGTTGGAAGAAAGCTGGTGGCGGCCAAACCAAAACATGGCACAAATCCATGAAGTCACTGACAAGTGGACTGAGTCATGTTAATAGGTGTAGACTACCTGGTTTTGGCTCACGAGATGATAGTAATCGATCACAATTACAATTACACACCGACAATCAGCCACATTCTTTACCGACTGAAAAAAAAATACCTAATGCTTACTGAGAAACTCACTTGATGAGTGAGAATTCTGATGATGAGTAATTTAAGTATTTCTGTGATAATTCATATTAGTTGAGAATTGCTTTTTCTCTACACAACAATACTAAATTTGCTCGGAAAGAAAAATAACTTGGCACTGAAAAAGCTGTTTGTTTTAATGTCGAATAATTTCACATGCTAAAAAGCATTTATGTTACCTGAATATACCAATATCAGACCTGGGGGTCAAAATGCGCTGGTACAGTCTAAATTTGGAATAGTCCACTTTCTCTCTTAAAATCCTTTCATATGGCCACACATATGTTGCGACTGACAGGGGAATTCTAACCACAACCTGCCTACTCGTGGCAAAGGTGTTATTTACGAACTCAAGAGGATGAAAAGCGAATGTATGGAGTATAGAACCCTTAATTTCATCCAATGACGCATATGAGCTCCGGGATTCTGATGAAACAAATAGCGTACAAACCTACTGTTAGACAACAGCTACCATGGGAACGCATCTCTTTACATTGCTCTACTATGTTCTGGATTAGACTTTTGGGCCAAACGCTTAAGGTATGGCCAACTAAGAAAATTACCTGCTTCGGTTTCGATGTCCGGGCCAAGTCAGTCAGTCAGTTACAACATAGAACTTCTTACGTACGTACATCAGTTCACGTTTCCATACCACATTAGCATAGAGATGCAATTTTCAATTCAAGACCCATAGTAGTAGAGGTAGTTGAAGTATTAGAAGTAATCAAAAAGATTAATGATCAAATATATCATTCAAGATGTATACCCCACAGGAATCGATTTAAAAAAAGAGAAAAAGAAGCCATCATGAGGAATTCAGAAGACTGGGATTTGAGAGAACACGAAAAATGGATGCACCCGCTTCACTGCAAACGGTTTTGAGCCACGTCATTCAAGGTCTCTAACCTTTGATTACTATCATCTCGCGGACCCCAACCAGGTAGTCTACATTTACCAAAATGACTCAATCCAGTTGTCAGTGACTTCATGGATTTGTGCCAAACCCACTTACAAATTCAATAATTTGCGCAGAGCATAAATATTTATGTGCTCTCTTGTACCTAGGTTTATGTTTAAATAAAATAAAATAAAATACCAGATAAAAGTATGGTGAAATTATATCATACACTACTACTCCTAGTATATTTTAAACAAATTAAGATAATAGCCGACCAACTGTTAAATTCAATAGTCTATGCTATATATCTGGGCAGCATCATCGACAATCAAGGTGGATCCGATGCAGATGTGAGGGCGCGGATTGGCAAAGCAAGGGCTGCATTTCTACAGTTGAACAATATCTGTAACTCAAAACAACTTTCAACCAAAATCAAAATCACGATTTTCAATACAAATGTCAAGACAGATCTACTGTTTGGAGCGGAAACTTGGAGAACTACCAAAGCCCATCATCCAGAAGATACAAGTGTTTATTAACAGTTGTCTACGCAAAATACTTCCGATTCGTTGGCCAGACACGATCAGCAACAACTTACTGTGGGATAGAACAAACCAGATTCCAGTGGAGGAGGAAATCAGGAAGAAGCGGTGGAGTTGGTGGATAGGACACACACTACGAAAAGCACCTAACTGCGTCACAGGGCAAGCTCTCACATGGCACCCTCAAGACAAAAGGAAAAGAGGAAGGTCTAGGAACACATTACGCCGAGAAATAGAGAAAGATAAGAGAAGAATGAACAAAAATTGGACAGAACTGGAGAAGGAAGCCCAGGACAGAGTTGGTTAGAGAAAACTGGTGGGCGACCTATGCTCCATTGGGGGTAACAGGCGTAAGTAAGTAATCTTAAACTATACATCAAAACAATATCTAGATTTTTAAGAAAAAAAATACTCACACACAACAACTCTTACAGTTGATAACCAAAATGTTTGATCTTTCACCGCGTCAACAGAACGTAATAATCTAGCTTCAACATTATTGTCCTTACGATGTTGTAAATAATTTCCAAAAGAATTTTGACAATAATGTCCAGTGGCAATTGCATCTGCGGTTACATTTGACGGTGTTTGATCATTACTATTATTATTGTCATTGTTATCAGATTGTTGGTGGTTTTTTAACACTGCTTTTGTTAACAAATTGAATTTTATAAATCGATTACATAATATATCTGGATTTGGTGTAGCACCTTGTTCATAGGATTTAATAAGTGGTCTAAATAAAAAATAAAATAGTCAGTAGTATGATAAGTCGTTTACTCACACAGAAATGAAACACTTACAAAAATACATAATTCCAATATTCTTTGACAAAATTCTTCTCAAAAAATGGTATTCCCAAGTGATCACAAATAAATTGAGCATCTTGACGATCTTTATCCAGGGAACACATAGTGTTTTCATCTAATGCATCCCAATTTGTCATAAATAAACCTTTGACTTGAAATCCTAAATGGCACGCGATAAAACGTTATTTGTAAAAATTAAAAAGTGTTCTACCTTTCTTTTTGAGAAGATATGCAGATACGGCACTGTCTACACCACCTGATATTGCACAAACAACGGAATGGATTGATTTTACACATCTTGCACGATTCAAATTTGAAGTGATCGAATGGAACACATTTTGGGGTCTCAGCATTTCACTGAAAATTAACCGAGTGTGTTAAGAAAAGTCATATGTGATATGATATCAGAAAGAAACTAAATAAATTACCATGTGTTACGTATGCCTAACCACCGACTGCCGCGCAGAACTATGTTTTGCAGTGTAGAAGTAGATTGGAAGAAAGCTAAGGGCGGCCAGAACAAAACATGGCAGAAATCCATGAAGTCACTGACAAGTGGATTGAGTCATGTTGGTAGATTTAGGCTACCTGGTTGGGGTCCACGAGACGAGTCACCAATGGTTAGAGACCTTGAACGACATGGCTCAGAATGGTTTGCGATGGCGCAGGTGCATCCACTCTTTGTGTTCTCTCTCAAATTATAACCTTCTGAATTCCTCGTAATCTCTATCTTTCTCCTTCTAAATTTATCTCACTGAATTACACTTTTCGAATCATATCTTCGCTCCCTAATCTTCTCCACTGCTGCTAATAATTTTACTATCGCTATCACTCTTGGATGTGAACTAACAGTTACGTCTCTGTACTGACGTGGTATGGTAGCCTGAACTGATGAACTTATGTACGAAGTTCTGCGTTGTATCTATCTGTCTATCTATCTATGACAATAAATAAATAAATTACTAATCACCATTTTATTATCTGCTAATTACGTTAGTAAAGATTACGAATTTATTTAGTGAAATCATGCTTTGCATTTTCCAGATCACTTCATACGAAGATTTATCCGAATACAATCTGATAAGTAAGTGAATTTCAGTGCAAATTTTACTAGTCAAGTTAATATATAACAGACTAAAATTATAGGTTTTAAACGCTGAGTGTGAACAATATGGGCGATTCTACTTGATAACGATCTTAAAAAACCGTGACATACATCCACGTAAACACGATTTTAATCAGAAATTTCCCATGAGTGTGACTTGTGAATAACAATGAAATTAAATAATCGAATAAGCTTGTGGGTTGTGTTCGATGAGCTTTGCCAACTATGCAACTTACTGTGACTTTCAAATGCCTTGACTAAGTCGCACCTTATGATAAATGAAATTATTATTTAATAATATTTCTACACAGTACCATATCACATGCCAACATAACAAGCACATTCATGGAGTCTTAATTCTTACCAGGTACCTATACTTACAGTGAACCCATTTCTATTACGAATGGCAAATGCAGACAATGTGACATCGTTACAGTAATTCGTGTTGAATCAAAAACTATTAAGTAACCTGAAGAAAATAGGTAGAATGCACTCGCTCAGCTATTGTGCAATTGTGCAGGAGAGATCCCTATCTCAATTAACAAGCAAGTATAAAGCGCAGCAGTTTGCTCCATTTCTCTCTGAATTTTTGAAACATAACCTAGATTGTATTTTTCGCCAGTGATCCTGCTCGTAGAATAAAAACTGAGCACTAATTAGTACCATGTACACGTTTTCACCTGAAAAAATGGGTAACATACTCAGTTTTTAAGCGTTATCCTAAACAAGGGAGAACGTCCATGGGTATTGTTAACCACTTAATTGAAATTTCACTCAGAGACACAACTATATCAACTCCAATTCCTCTCAGACATTTCAAGTGAACAAGATGACGCTTCAGAAGTTAGGAAACAACTAGTAAGTGTACAAAAGACTAATAATGAGTGTAGTGTTTCTGGAAATTTAAGTTCTATCACAATAACTTGTTAATCTTCAGCCAACCCATACTCATTCCAAAATAATATTTGTCAGTTTCAATTTAACAGTCGGTACTTAACGTATACATTCTAACTGTGTGTTAACTCAAGGGTAATCATAAACAAAATAACTTGAACGGCACAAACTAGCCTTCACATACTCAAACGTCGGAGATCAGCTGTTTACCGTTTTTAGAGCATTTAAACTAGTATATGTTTCGACCTGAAATTGCTCAATACACAAATAGCTGCAATCCTCAATACCAAATATCTTTTACAAGAGCTAGTTTAAACCAGTTGATTTCTTTTTACTCGCTTCTTGTTCTTTCGGTACGGTTCCAGGCACTTGGTAGCTTCCAATCGATGGTAGTCTAGCCACTCCAATATCCAATATCCAATATCTTTTAACATTTTTTTTTTGGTCGTCGGTAATGTCCAATGGATGGAGGTCTAGCCACTCGACTGTCTAATTCTAGTCAGTTGGCAGTGTTTGGATTTGAATGAAACGTTTGTTTCAGGGCAGTAGGGTTTCTGGATACTAGCAGCCGTCACTTCAAGTTAGAAGGGATTGCACTAATTCTAGTTGTTGGAAGGTCCTTTATAAGTTTGTTTGTCCCGTGATTTGAGTGAGTGCGTTTGTTTCAGGGCAGGAGGGCTTCTGGATACCAGCGACTATAACATTACCTGGCAGGAGATTAGCTATTCGCAAAGTGGAAATAATAAGGAGAAGACCCTAACGCTAACGAGAAGAAGGTTCCGGAACTGGATAATTAAGTATATAAGTTAATTATTTGGAAGTGAATATTGTGTGAGAGGAAAGAAGCGTGTGGAAATAGGGAGACACAGAGATAATAAGCAAGATAGAGTAAGTTATTAATCTGAGGAAATGACAATGATGACAATTAACAAGTTTGGAGACGTGCGCCAGGCCTAGCTGGTTCAAGCGGGAGATGATAGTCTTTATGTGAATGCGTGTTTGTCAAACCTCTTATTGAAGCTATTCACTCAGGATGCTATGGTCACCTCGGCTGGAAGAGCATTCCAAGTTCCAACAACTCTTAATGAAAAGAAGTGTGCACGAACCTGAGTGTTCGCTCTTTGATGCGCAGTTTTTCGAGGATTATCTCGAGGGGCATGGTGTTAATGCTTCGGCAAGATACTCATGTTGGGAAGATTGGCGTGCTTAGTGGTTTTTACGCCATTATCAGATCACCTCTGATTTTCCTGTAACATGGTGAGAATAATCCCAAGTATTGGAGTTTATCTTTGTAAGGTTTGTTCTTCAAACCGATCACCCCTTAAGTTGCTTGTCTCTGTAATTGATCTACGAGATTTAAGTCTATTTTAAGTAGACGGGATGTGACGACGTTGTGGACCTCAAGGTTTGCGTATGTTTTAAAGAGTTAAGAACAATACTAGAGTGATGGCACCAATTTGCTTTTACACAAAGTGAAGAGTTGTGTTAGCCTTGGCTGCATTCCCTGTGTAGTTTGAACTGGGTTTTAGGCTTTCCATGGTTATTAGACTAAGACCGCGCTCTAGTAAGACATTGGGGAGCGGAATCCCATTGAGTATGTAGGTTGTTTGCGTCACGTGGGGCAGAATGTTCACGACACAACATTTCGACCGGTTAAGTTTTAACTGATTGACTACTTCCAATTCCTCAATTGCTGTAGGGTCCTTTTGAAGCCCCGTTGAATCCTCTTCGCTTCTTATGGATCTCCTGATCATTATGTTATCTGCGTAGATTAGTGCCTCTGGATTAATATTATCTAACTAGCTGTCGGTGAATATCGCGAAGAGGAGTCGACCCAAGATGTTCTGCTGTGAAACTCGGTGCTGAGACTCAATAGCTCTCATTCATTCTCTTCACCATGTCACGAAAATTTCTATTCCCAAGTTAGTGGATCAGTGAAGCTGATCTTCGCAACCGTCGCGACTAAAACTCCGTTAAGTACTGTTTAGAATACAATATGAACCGGTATTTTTCTGTTTCAGCAAGTTGTTCAGCTGTTCCATGCTTTGAGAAGATTGGATGCGCATGACCTACCTCACCTAAACCAGCTCGAAGCTTCATCGAGGATTTTGTTTTTATCCATGTACACCCTCATTTACTCATTCACCAGTCCTTCCATTAACTTGGATAGTATTGGTGGCAATGTAACTGGTCTAAAACAGGATGGATACTTCCGACCTTCTCCTTTGGAGATAGGAGAGAGAGCAGCATGTTTTCACACAGCTGGAAGTAGGTGTACAGAACGGAATCATAATGACGATGATAATAATCTGGATGTCACTGATGTGACAAATGATTTGTCGACGTTGACGAATGCTGATCAAACCTCTGTACCAGGAGATGGAGAGTTGAATATTGTTCCAATGTTATGCCACCTAGAGTCTTCGGGAGACGAGGAAACGTCAAAATCGGAGATCCCGCCCTTGCATATTATCTATGGGTCAAGAACTTCTGTTGATAAGTCAGCATCACGGGCTTCATCGTATCTGCTGTTTGGAGCAATGGGTGGTGGATTAACGACTCATCCCCATGAGGTGGAAAGTAAATCTCTAAGAGGATATGACCAGCTTTACGACGTGTTGCACATGTTCGTGTGGGTGAATTGGATAAGGTTTATACTACCGTTAGGTCATGCTACGATAGATAGGGGAATCAAGGACCTGATGGGAATGTACAGGTTCATAGTTTGATAGGTCATATCCATGTTGGAGGGCGGGTAGGCGTACTGCTGTAAGTCCTACTCGTTCTTCCGGTGTGGATTAGGGGATGAGAATGAACCGTAAATTGAAGTGTTAGAAAGGGCTTGTTTTGCTTAGAGGGATATTGTGGGCCGGTGTAGAATTTATATTGAATGTTTGTTGTTGATTGCTTGTGATGCACATACTTGGATTGTTGTTATATATTTTTGTCGGTGAAAAGAACCAAGGTTCTTTTGGTCGGGAGTGTTACGGGAGAAACGAAGACATTTTGCTGATCAAAACCTTCATGTATAAATAATCATTAATTTCACTGTTTTTTGGGTATATTTGTTTTACTTAACTTATGAACTTGTTTGAATTATTATTTGCGGACATATTGGACTCCCGTTTCTCTTTGTTGTTCGTTGCAGTTTTTTGCTCCAAGAGATAATAAATTAGAAGGTAATTGTAATTATTATAATTATTGTTGTTAGAACGACATTGGTCGTCTATTTGTAATAAAGTATTTTGGTCGAATTTGTGATTTGGAATAAACTTTGGTATCTACTTTGGAGTTTCGTTCTTGGTTTAGAAATTTGGGACCGTGAATTACAAATAGTCGACAACCGTGCTTCGTAGAATCAACGGGCAAAAAACTGGACGTAACAAAGGTTCTTCTAATTTAATTTCGTCATATATTGCATTTTTGGTCGTTTGGCTCCAAAAGTTCTTCTAATTTATATTCGTCATATATTGGATTTTTGGTCGTTTTGCTCCAGAGGTTCTTCAATTCAATTTTTGGTCGCTGGAAACTTTTGGAAATTTGGGTCCAAAGGTTCTTCTAACTTTTAATTTGGTCGTTGGATACTTTGGACAATTCAATTTTGGTTCTTTGGTTATATTTTGGATACTTTTGGACATTTTGCTATTATTGGCGAATACGTTTGGAATAATTTCACATTTGCTTGGTAATCGATTTCGAATAAAAACATACAATGGAAACTAGAAGCAAAAGGCTGAAGGAGCAGGACGAAATGGATGGTAAATTTTCTAAAGCTGTTCGTGGTATGTCTGATGTTAATGATGATAAACTTGATGATATTAGTGTTAATAGTAAGTCTTCCTCTCAGTTTAGTACTTCTAGATTGAAGTTAGATAAGGCATTAATTAAGAAGAAGAATTTGGAAAAGAGACTTGAGTTAGAAAAGCAGCTTAAAATGTTAGAGCTTCAAGAGGAAGTTGATATGGCTGAATTAGAATGTAAGCTCATAGAAAACGATAACCAACTGTCAGTAGACAAAGCTGAGATAAATTCTAAGGTCGAAAGGTATTTGGATTGTGATATTGAGCGTAATAAGGTAATTAACGCCTCAAAATGCGGTTGTATTGATGAATTAAAGGACACGTTACGTGCTACGGTTAATAATACAGTTTTGCCTAAAATCGATATGATGTTTTTTGACGGACAACCTAGCCAGTACCACCGTTTTATTAGTCAGTTTACAAGCATTGTAGAGAGTAAACTGTCTGACAAGGGCCAGTTGTTGTCATATTTGTCATACTATTGTAAAGGAAAAGCAAAAAATGCGATTGAAGGCTGTATTATTATGGATCCACAAGCAGGATATAAGAGAGCTAAGGCCATTTTAAAACAGCTCTTTGGACAGTCGCATGTAATAGCCCGAGAAACCTTAGAGGATTTATTTAGAACTGGGAATGTAGATTTTAATGATTCTGAATTATTGACGAACTTGGCTATTAAAATGCAGAATGCTGCTTTAACTTTAGAACAGCTAAATTGCACAACGGAACTTAATTCCATGGTTACTTTAGAACGAATAGTCAGGCTCTTACCTCGTCGAATGCAAGCCCAGTGGGCAGAGCTAGGAATCAAGTGGGACGAAGAGGAGAGAGAGCCTAATTTTAACGAATTGACGGAATTTATTATGTCTCATGCTAAGATAGCTAGTAGTAGGTTTGGAAGATTAGCTTATCGGGCTAAAACAGAACATAATACGGAAGCTACTAGTGGTCTGCGTGTGGGACATGAGGATTTTTCGTTTCTACCTAAAGCACGCTCAGAAGATAAGAGAGTTGTCAATTATATCACGAAAGCATACGCTGATGAAGGACGAGTATGTGACCGTAACGATGTAAAACCTCTTGATGCGTGTCCTAGCAAGAAGCCGGTTGGTGTAACAGATAAGATGGCTTTTCTAAGTATGGAAAAGAAAGAAAAGGGTGAAAAGTGTAGGCATCAAGATGGATCCGAAGTGTGTGATGGTAAAAGCCTCTCAACTGCTCGAACATCAAGGAACGGTTATTTGGATTCGAGCAAACAGAGGTTAGTGAATAAGAACAAAGACGAAACAGGTTTGACTGTATGGAATAAAGCTTATGTTCGGAACCTTTCACGTAACGTAAATTATTTAACAGGACCTAGAGTTGATCCTAGGACAACAAGTGTATATAGTGACACAGCACTTCATGTTGCTGAGCAATCAGGATGTCTGCAGGCTACTATATCTAGTTCTATGGAGCATCATGATATTGAAGCGGAAGATAATAGCTGCTTAGCGCGTCCTGCTGATGTTTGTTTACGGTCAACGGATGGACGGTCGTATACTAGTCGAAGTAGTCATATCGACATTGATAGTGTTAGTGAAAGTGGTAGCGTAGCTTTGAAGCCTGCATGCCAACTATCTCGCAACTCGTCATTAACTGTGAATAGTCGGAACATCATTGTCGACAACAATAACGTCAAGGTGGAGGTGAAACCCCATGTATCTATTAATAGTGTAATTGATGTGAATAATAAACGAGATGGTAACGATAGTGGAATCATTATAGGTAGTGCTGTTTCGTCGGTTGACGCTGCTAATGTAGCTTCTTTGAGTACTTCGAATCAAGACGAAATTGGATGTTTGAGAGTGGAGAACGTAGGCGTCGGTGGCAATAGCTTTAGCTATAGTGATGGCAGTACTGAGAATGCTAACATTCGGTACCCTAGGTGCAATGAGGAGTCATCTAGGTTTAATGGACATGCTGTTGTTTTGAATATGCAGCATGAGGAATCAAGCATGGAATTGTCCACCTGTCGCACTTCACCATCATTGACTCGTACTACAGGTATCGGGATGAGCACTACCAACAGTGATAAGATAGAAGAGGTTAAGAGCATTCCTGGTAATGAAAGTATTGTTGATCGAGTAAAGTTGGATACTGTGTATGAGTCGACTGGTTATCATGAGAAGTGTATTGCTACTTGTACAGATGCGACTACCAATGATAATAGCATTGGTAGTACGGCGGGTAATAGTGATCTATGGAAGTTAAAGGACGCTCATCGTCGTCGAAATGATCGTACGTTACGCTTGCATACTGCCACCCAAGCTAAGAAGCATAAGAAACAACATGATGCTACTAATATTAAGAAGTGTAAACTTCGTTCTCTTTCGGATGCTATGACTAGCAATAGAAGTAGTAGTCATCAGAACCTTAGTAGTGACAGTGATAATAAGGAGATAGAAAGTGTCAGCAGTCCACTTATAGTGACTAGTCTATCAACTTCATCGAACGAGCCTTCTAGTGTTTCGACGTCATTGGACCTCGTCACGAATGTTAAGTTGATCGAAGATGCACAAGGTTGTGCAACTGTAACTGTTCCTATTCCGGTTGACTGTCAGTCGAGTGATGATGAGAAGAAAGTGTTTGATGGTAACAGCCAGTCTACAGTGTTGTGTGATGACGATGCTATTGATGAGCATATGTCTTGTGTCTCTGGGACGGATGCTAATGCAGACCGAATCGACGCGACTTGTCTGACAGAACGGAATCATAATGACGATGATAATAATCTGGATGTCACTGATGTGACAAATGATTTGTCGACGTTGACGAATGCTGATCAAACCTCTGTACCAGGAGATGGAGAGTTGAATATTGTTCCAATATTATGCCACCTAGAGTCTTCAGGAGACGAGGAAACGTCAAAATCGGAGATCCTGCCCTTGCATATTATCTATGGGTCAAGAACTTCTGTTGATAAGTCAGCATCACGGGCTTCATCGTATCTGCTGTTTGGAGCAATGGTTGGTGGATTAACGACTCATCCCCATGAGGTGGAAAGTAAATCTCTAAGAGGATATGACCAGCTTTACGACGTGTTGCACATGTTCGTGTGGGTGAATTGGATAAGGTTTATACTACCGTTAGGTCATGCTACGATAGATAGGGGAATCAAGGACCTGATGGGAATGTACAGGTTCATAGTTTGATAGGTCATATCCATGTTGGAGGGCGGGTAGGCGTACTGCTGTAAGTCCTACTCGTTCTTCCGGTGTGGATTAGGGGATGAGAATGAACCGTAAATTGAAGTGTTAGAAAGGGCTTGTTTTGCTTAGAGGGATATTGTGGGCCGGTGTAGAATTTATATTGAATGTTTGTTGTTGATTGCTTGTGATGCACATACTTGGATTGTTGTTATATATTTTGTCGGTGAAAAGAACCAAGGTTCTTTTGGTCGGGAGTGTTACGGGAGAAACGAAGACATTTTGCTGATCAAAACCTTTATATATATATATCATTAATTTCACTGTTTTTGGGTACATTTGTTTTACTTAACTTATGAACTTGTTTGAATTATTTTTGCGGACATTTTGGACTCCCGTTTCTCTTGGCTGTTCGTTTGCAGTTTTTTGCTCCAAGAGATAATAAATTAGAAGGTAATTGTAATTATTATAATTATTGTTGTTAGAACGACATTGGTCGTCTATTTGTAATAAAGTATTTTGGTCGAATTTGTGATTTGGAATAAACTTTGGTATCTACTTTGGAGTTTCGTTCTTGGTTTAAAATTTGGGACCGTGAATTACAAATAGTTCGACAACCGTGCTTCGTAGAATCAACGGGCAAAAAACTGGACGTAACAGGTGTGACTCCACTAAATGCGTGAACAGGTCACATACCGTCGAATTTCGCCTTCCGCATACTGCTTCAGGGTTAACGGGTGAATATTGTTACATCCTGGTGACTCTCTTGGGCATGGGAACTTCAGTTTTCTGAGTAATAAGTGAGGATTTAGCAGAATATTAACCAGGCCATCAGATGGCACTAGGTTTGAGCAGTATGGAGTACTACTGAGGAATAAATGTCTAGGTAGGTTAGAAACGCGTCTTGCCCAGTCGAAATCAAAACAAGTGATTGGGTGAATAGTGGTTCTAATATTCATCATAAATATAAATTTACATCATTACCTAAACAATATTACCACTCAGTTATTCCACCAACAATTGTCCAATTATTAAAATCAACAGCACCGGTAAATGATATTCTATCACTCTTGAATAGATCAGATTCGTTCGACAGATAATATTTGGTTGCTTTATAACACAGAGCGTTTCCTATTCTGGAAGAGTGCTTCAATTCGCAATCAAAATGCAAAATCCCAGTCAAAGCAATTGACACAATCAAAGGAGGAACAAATCAATATGGGTGTCGCCATGACTAAGTATCAGCTTAAACAACATAACGCAGTACAGAAAGAAACGTAGAAACTCAGTAAAGGCAGAATAAATCGAAACTATGATAAGATGCAAATATTATCATCTCAAGTGGAATCGAACGGATTGACAAAATGTAAAACTGAAAGAATCAATAAGGATGAACTACGAACATATACATAGAGAGATTTACACAAACAATGTCTTCAAAATCCCTCCATTCAAAACAATGCCTATGGTCGTAGTTTATTTTATAGCATATTCCACACTAGACGAACGAGTTGGACTTATAGCAGTACGCCAACTCAACCTCCTACATAGATATAACCCATCAAAAATTAAATTCACTAGGTAATTCAAGATCGGTCATTTTGTGTATACCTCTCGAAGTCCAGTCAGCTGGGTTCTGTGCCGAAATTACATAAATCCATTGTTCAGCGACGGTGTGGGCTTGAAAGGTACGAAACTCTTCCGATGCAATAGGGTTTAAAGGACTGGTGGCGTGGCTATTTATATGAACAGACATTTTAAAGCTGTGGACATAACACAGCACCCAACTAACCTGCGTGACAGAATCATGCTATTGTTGTTTCAACACGAGTGACACAAAATAGTTGGTTGGAGGGATTTGCTGTCCCTTTAGGTATTAAGATCTAGAAAGGCAAACTCATTGCGGCAATACTGCAGCTAAAAGTCCTGGGGTTTGACCAGATGCGCTTAGCCGGAAACTTCAACACTCCATCTCTAAATATAAGCAAACAGGCCACAACTCTCGCAGGTTGGTTCTAAAGGCGAATCGTTACAGCCATTAAAAGTTCAGGACTGACTGAGTGTGTATGCAACGCTACTAGATGGACTACGGATGGAAAACCCTCAAACTTGGATCTTTTGTCAACAAGTGATCAGCTCCCAGTGGAGGATGTCCACGTCCACACACCGATAGTGAGTAGTCACCATGGTGTAGTTGTGTTTAGCATGGTCATGAACGAAATACTCAGGAGGGAAGAAAACACGTCCTACATTTTTTACGCTAGGACGAATAACATGTACATGTGAGAGCATCTTCTAAATGCCCGATGACCACGAGAATGGTGACGGCTAACAGTAGACGACTACTGGCAAGCGGTAGGAGACATCATTCAGAATGCTGTCCTACACAGTGTGCGTCAGGCAAATCACACACCTGGAAAGAAAAGAACAAAGGTTAGGTGCGGCACTGAACTTTTGCTGCACGCAATGAGGAGAGCTTTGCACAAGTGGAAGGTTCCTCTGAAGGATTTCGACTGTAGTTCTTATTGGGCATTGAGTAACAGATGCAGTGCCGGGGTTCTAAGTGATAGGCAACACGTCCAGACGAAGCTGGCTGCCGAAATAAAGGACAACTCAAAATATATGTCTAGGTCCATGACTAAAATAAAGCCTACATATTAGAGTGCTTGTGCATTCAAAGGTCCAAATGTCGAAAATCTTGCCGACCTAGGGATGGCTGAGATCTTTAAAGCCAACCTAACCGATCAGTCAAACCAGGTACCTACAAGTTCAGAGTACTACTCAAACCTAGAACTAGATTATGGCATAGAGAATATTCAACTCACCCTTGACTTAGTAATAAGAAAACTGAAGTACATGTGCCCAAGACTTACACCGACAGCTTGTTAGATAATATTAATCCAGAGGCACTAATCTACGCAGATAACATAATGATCAGGAGATCCATAAGAAGCGAAGAGGATTCAACGGGGCTTCAAAAGGACCCTACAGCAATTGAGGAATTGGAAGTAGTCAATCAGTTAAAACTTAACCGGTCGAAATGTTGTGTCGTGAACATTCTGCCCCACGTGACGCAAACAACCTACATACTCAATGGGATTCCGCTCCCCAATGTCTTACTAGAGCGCGGTCTTAGTCTAATAACCATGGAAAGCCTAAAACCCAGTTCAAACTACACAGGGAATGCAGCCAAGGCTAACACAACTCTTCACTTTGTGTAAAAGCAAATTGGTGCCATCACTCTAGTATTGTTCTTAACTCTTTAAAACATACGCAAACCTTGAGGTCCACAACGTCGTCACATCCCGTCTACTTAAAATAGACTTAAATCTCGTAGATCAATTACAGAGACAAGCAACTTAAGGGGTGATCGGTTTGAAGAACAAACCTTACAAAGATAAACTCCAATACTTGGGATTATTCTCACCATGTTACAGGAAAATCAGAGGTGATCTGATAATGGCGTAAAAACCACTAAGCACGCCAATCTTCCCAACATGAGTATCTTGCCGAAGCATTAACACCATGCCCCTCGAGATAATCCTCGAAAAACTGCGCATCAAAGAGCGAACACTCAGGTTCGTGCACACTTCTTTTCATTAAGAGTTGTTGGAACTTGGAATGCTCTTCCAGCCGAGGTGACCATAGCATCCTGAGTGAATAGCTTCAATAAGAGGTTTGACAAACACGCATTCACATAAAGACTATCATCTCCCGCTTGAACCAGCTAGGCCTGGCGCACGTCTCCAAACTTGTTAATTGTCATCATTGTCATTTCCTCAGATTAATAACTTACTCTATCTTGCTTATTATCTCTGTGTCTCCCTATTTCCACACGCTTCTTTCCTCTCACACAATATTCACTTCCAAATAATTAACTTATATACTTAATTATCCAGTTCCGGAACCTTCTTCTCGTTAGCGTTAGGGTCTTCTCCTTATTATTTCCACTTTGCGAATAGCTAATCTCCTGCCAGGTAATGTTATAGTCGCTGGTATCCAGAAGCCCTCCTGCCCTGAAACAAACGCACTCACTCAAATCACGGGACAAACAAACTTATAAAGGACCTTCCAACAACTAGAATTAGTGCAATTACCCTTATTACTCTCCACATTGCAACTAACTGATCTCCAGTTTGGTAAAGTGACGGCTGCTAGTATCCAGAAACCCTACTGCCCTGAAACAAACGTTTCATTCAAATCCCGAGACATACAAACTCACAACCAACTGCCAACTGACTAGAATTAGACAGTCGAGTGGCTAGACCTCCATCCATTGGACATTACCGAACACCTGGAACCGTACCGAAAGAACAAGAATCGAGCGCGAAGAAATCAAATTGGTTTACACTAGCTCGTGAAAAAGATATTGGATATTGGATATTGGAGTGGCTAGACTACCATCGATTGGAAGCTACCAAGTGCCTGGAACCGTACCGAAAGAACAAGAAGCGAGTAAAAAGAAATCAACTGGTTTAAACTAGCTCTTGTAAAAGATATTTGGTATTGAGGATTGCAGCTATTTGTGTATTGAGCAATTTCAGGTCGAAACATATACTAGTTTAAATGCTCTAAAAACGGTAAACAGCTGATCTCCGACGTTTGAGTATGTGAAGGCTAGTTTGTGCCGTTCAAGTTATTTTGTTTATGATTACCCTTGAGTTAACACACAGTTAGAATGTATACGTTAAGTACCGACTGTTAAATTGAAACTGACAAATATTATTTTGGAATGAGTATGGGTTGGCTGAAGATTAACAAGTTATTGTGATAGAACTTAAATTTCCAGAAACACTACACTCATTATTAGTCTTTTGTACACTTACTAGTTGTTTCCTAACTTCTGAAGCGTCATCTTGTTCACTTGAAATGTCTGAGAGGAATTGGAGTTGATATAGTTGTGTCTCTGAGTGAGATTTCAATTAAGTGGTTAACAATACCCATGGACGTTCTCCCTTGTTTAGGATAACGCTTAAAAACTGAGTATGTTACCCATTTTTTCAGGTGAAAACGTGTACATGGTACTAATTAGTGCTCAGTTTTTATTCTACGAGCAGGATCACTGGCGAAAAATACAATTTAGGTTATGTTTCAAAAATTCAGAGAGAAATGGAGCAAACTGCTGCGCTTTATACTTGCTTGTTAATTGAGATAGGGATCTCTCCTGCACAATTGCACAATAGCTGAGCGAGTGCATTCTACCTATTTTCTTCAGGTTACTTAATAGTTTTTGATTCAACACGAATTACTGTAACGATGTCACATTGTCTGCATTTGCCATTCGTAATAGAAATGGGTTCACTGTAAGTATAGGTACCTGGTAAGAATTAAGACTCCATGAATGTGCTTGTTATGTTGGCATGTGATATGGTACTGTGTAGAAATATTATTAAATAATAATTTCATTTATCATAAGGTGCGACTTAGTCAAGGCATTTGAAAGTCACAGTAAGTTGCATAGTTGGCAAAGCTCATCGAACACAACCCACAAGCTTATTCGATTATTTAATTTCATTGTTATTCACAAGTCACACTCATGGGAAATTTGTGAATAATGTCGAATCCTGTAGCATTACCTAATTGGCTACTGAAAATGTCTAACTTAAAAGTAATCAACAATGAAGGGTTAGCAGACTTGCATTATGCGACGTCCACATCCTATGAAATGACAAATGAGAAGGGGCGGTCAAAGGAAAATAGCACAAGTCCGTGAAGTCACTGACAATTGGGCTTGGCTATGGTAATATGTGTAGGATTCCCTTTTGGGGTCCACAAGACAGTCGTAACTGGTTGTTAGAGACTTGAATGACATTGCTCAGAATCGTTTGGAATGATTCGGGTGCATCCATTCTTTGTCTTTTATGAAATTCTAATCGTCTGAATTCATTGTCACGTTTTTCTTTTTACATTTTTTCACTGGACTGTACTTCTCGAATCAAATCTTCAATCCCTGATCCTTTCCATCTCATTCAATACTTCTACATCCTCTTCTACTATGGGATTTGTATTCACAATTTCATCTCTGTGCTAATGTGTTATGGCAACTTGAGTTGATGTCCGTTGGTACCAAATTCTGCATTGTAGCAGACTGACGTGGTAAATTGTGCGTTTTTTACGGGTTACAGAGTGTACGATTCATATCGCGCTACGTCTCCAACCGTTTATTTTTCACACTGTTGAATTTCTTTCATACTGATGAGGTTACAAACTCAGGTTTTGCAGATAAGTATCATGTTATGACTTGTATCCTCTCTTCTGATGGCTAGTCGAATTATAGTAGCTTATTTTAAGCAACTTATGTGTACTTTTAAGCCAGTTCAATCCAGTTTCCCAAATGTTTCATCTAACTATATCACTGATCAGCCTTTCCCAATAGCTTTCTTTAAAACTGTCAATTTTCGTGTTCCATAGCAAAGTTTTAATATATTTTCTGTTTACCATTGCTAATGCCTGTAATTGATTTTTCAATGCTCTGCTATTACCGTCATTGGAAAGGAATACAGTACAGCATCAAGTCTGACACAAAATATCGCGCTAGTTATTTAAGCATCGAATGAAAATGTGTCCTTTATTTTCTATGGTCATATTTCACAACGATGAATTAGAGCAGAGCAGATCACCTCTCAGTATGCTCAACGTTTTGTTAGCAAACTCGTACGAGTATAGGTTTCAAGTTTTCAGACAAAATCCTGGTTAAATTAGGTTTTAGGTTTGTGAAAACTAGATGTAGAGAGCTGAAACAGAACAATGCACTGAAAAGTTACTAACTGTTGGTCTGAATTACTCAGAAGTGTGTGGATTTGGGCATGTTAAAAGCAAGTATTACGTGTGATCACAGGTTGACACTTGTTAAAATCAATCACTGCAACGTATAGATTCACCATATTTCCTCAAAATCTTGAATATTTCATGACTGGCTCCGTTCTGCGTCAAACCTGTATTCCTCATGTTTACTTAAATATCTTAAAAATGTTACCAATTTGATTTCATTATACTTTGTGATGTTGTGACAACTGGCTCCTATCCTTTTCAGTTTACAGCTATTCGGTAATATGCGTTTGTCTTATGTAACTTGTGGTTTCCGACCACTAATTTTTGTTAGTATTTCGTTAACTATCAAGAAGCTTAAATTTCATGTGGTTGTTATTGATAAGTAGTCGGTGATGTCATTGTTGTTTATCTCTACTCCTTTCTATCGGTTGTTCAGCCTTTTTCCTTCACAAAATACGATTATGAGGTTGTTCGTTTTATAAACTGTCACGCTAGTTGATTATCCTTAAAAGTTGTGATATTTTTATTCTGATCGGTTACTTTTTTTGCGAAAAGGTGTTAGATTTTCGTTCATGTTCGAAATTGTTGCAGTAGGATTCAACTTTCTTAAACCTTTGAATAATAAACCGTTTTTAATAGGATAACTAAAAGCAAAGTCCTTCGTTTTATGAATGTACGGATGTGTAGGAACGTTCAGGATGTGTACCTCGAGCTGACTTTACAACAAAATAAATGACCTTACATGGTAATAGACAGTTTGGGCGGAAAATGTTTTGGTCAGTGTTTTTAAGACATATTTCTTTTTACTATTTCTCTAAATCCTGAGTCTTGAGATAAATTCTCAGTTATTTGTCCTTGCTGTTACCATTGGTAACACATTTATATAGACGGCTGTAGTATTGATCTTGTCCATTTCGACTTATTATGTTGATGCACTCTGGCAACATGTGTGTTTTAGACTGTATGTTATTTTCGATTGCCCACTAAATGAGCTAGCATATATTCTAGTCATATTGTTTTTATCAATTTGCTTAGAAATTACTTTCGATTTCCTGTTTAGTGTTAGATAGGAATTCTGTTCTTTTTTACTTAGGTTGAGTTAACCTGTCACGTGTTCACCGGTATATAGCTGGCAGACCTTATTAGCATAGCGTTAGTAAATCGTTGGAGCAAATCACATAGTAGTAGTAGCAGTAATAATGGTACTTTTGGTAATTCAAAGGATTGAGCATCGAAGATACGATTCATTGAAATATACATTCATGAGTTAAAACGATTATAAGGAATCCAGGAATTTAGTATGCACAGGAAGACATGGAGTGAATGTACTTGCGCCATTGCAAACAATTTTGATATCTATCATTGGAAGTCACTAACCATTGGTTCAGTAATCATACTGACTCCAATCATGTAGTCTATACCTATCCACATTGCTCACTTCAACAGTTAGCGTCTTCATGGACTGATGCTATAGCGTGGTTTCACTGCCTCTAATCTTCTTCCAAATCACTCTTAAATCAACTGTCATCGCTCGCTGGGGTAGGTGGTTATTAGGCATACGTTATGCGTGTCTCAACCATTTCAGTCAGTTAAGATTCATGACATCGTTAATCGGATTCTTATACCTCGTAAGTACTCTGTGTATTATAACCTTCATTCAGTCAGTCAGTCAGATGCAACGTAGAACTTCGTACGTAAGTACATCAGTTCATGTCGCCATACCACATCAGCACAGAGATGTAATTGTCAATTCAAATCCAATAGTAGAAGGAGTAGTAAAGGTATTAGAAGTAATCGGAGAGGTTAGGATTAGAAGATTTTATTCAAGAAGTATGATTCAGTGAGATAAGTTTAGAAAGTCACAACTAGAGGTGTTGAAGAACCCAGAAGATTAGGATTTGAGATAACACATAGCATAAATGCACCGGCGCCATTGCGAACGATTTTGAGCCATGTCATTCAAGGTATTATAACCTTAGAATTACTCACTCGACGGAGTCAATATAGACGAACAATACTTCAAAGACATGCATTGCATTATCAAGAATTCCGTCTCATTTTAAAAGCTTATTTTACCCAATAATATTCGCACATACTTTTGTTTCTATTTTGAAATTTCTCAACTTATTGACAAATGATCCACAGCCATTTGATTTTGACCAATTTGGTCTCGTGTGCTGTTACGGGTATGAGGGCGGTTATCACTTACTGGCTGCCCACACCGCGGCCAGACCAAAACATAGCAGAAATCCATGAAGTCACTGACAAGTGGACTAAGTCATGTTGGTAAATGTAGTCTACCTGGTTGGGGTCCGCGAGACGAAAGTCACCAATAGTTAGAGACCTTGAACGACATGGCTCAAAATCGTTTGCAATGGCGTAAGTGTATCCATTCTTTGTGCCCTCTCAAATCCTAATCTTCTGGATTCGTCAGCACTTCTACCTTTGTCTTTCTAACCTTATTTCACTGAATTATATTTCTTGAATAATATCTTCAAACCCTGTAGTCTTCTTCATTACAATATTAATACCTCTACTATCTTTATCACTATGGGATTTGATTTGACATTTGCGTCTCTGTGCTAATGTGATGGTATGGCAACATGAACTTATGTACATACGTACGTAGTTCTACGTTGCAACTGACTGACTGACTGATCCACAGCCATATAAAGAATGAAAAAGTTTTACTCTCGGTGTTTTTATTTTGAAGTAGATATAATTATAGTTTTTTATCATCTTTACTTATAGTACCGATGATTCGATTGGCGGATAAAATTCGTCAAAGACAAAGTGGTGTTACTTCCACTGAACCAGATGCTGTTCAATCAGCTTCTGTTCGTAACGCTACTATTCGTGATCATCTTGTGCTACAAGAATTACAAGAATTACGAACTAATCTCTCCGCTCAATGTTCAATTCATCATCCTGATCCAAATAAACTTCATGAATTCACTTTAATCGTAAGACCAAATGAAGGAATATGGGCTGATGGAAGTTATCATTTCAGTATTGTAGTTCCTGAAGGTTATAATCATACTCCACCATTAGTACATTGTACTACAAAAATATGGCATCCAAATATTGATGAAGCTGGACGTGTTTGTTTAAGTTTACTACGACAAAGTTCATTGGATTTTTCTGGTTGGGCACCAACAAGACGTTTACTTGATGTTGTCTGGGGCATTGAATCACTTTTTTCAGATTTATGCGATTTCAATGATGCACTGAATACAACAGCTGCTGAACAATATTTACGTGATCCTGAAGCATTTCATGATACTGCACGAAGTTATGTCTTTCGTTTTGCACGATAAAAACAACCATTTCTTCTGTGTTTTCCTTCTTCTTCAATCAATCAATTTTCATGTATTCTTCTTCTTTGTCCAACCCGTTTTTTTTTGCACCACAAATTCAACATGTCAAACATTGTTCAGATAAGATACATTGGAATTGAATTCATTTACTAAATAACTATTTTTTTGTATTCTGTAAACTAAACCGAATGCTTCGTATATATATATATATATATATATATATATATATATATATATATATATATATATCAAGAAATTAATGTTTACAAATCAATTGAATTGAACATTGAATCCGAAAAAAACAATTTTTAATTTCTGAAACAAAAAAACAATTTTGTTTGTCCATTCATTCTCTAGTGTTCAATTGAATTGAATTGAAGTGTTTGATTGGTGATGATTACTTACACACATTAAACCTTGAGTAAATAAGCTACTAGCTATTCATTCATTCATTCATGCATTCGGTTTTTGTAATATTTGCTGCAATCAATTACCAACTTTAAGGCTTTGTAATAAAAGCATTCAAATGATAATGTTAGTCGTCTTTTTGTTTTTTCGTTAGTTTCTGTTTGTTTGTTTGATATAGATTGAGTGGTCATCTGATTTCCACATCATGATGTATGCGTGTGTGTGTGTGTGTGTGTGGCTTGTAGTGTTGTTTCATTGTGAATTAATACTACCAGTTAGTAATATATAATTTTATTCAATTTTTTTTCAGTCTAATGCAATCAGTCAAGCTATCGGCTTTGTTACAAAGAGAAAATGTCATTGTGTCTACAACAACAACACTACGACGATTGGTTAGTACGATAAAATCGTCACCGCCTGGGAATTCTGATGGTAACACTTCAAAACGTAAGCATTATTACTGTTATTATTGTAGGATTTAATTTGTCCTACAGATGTAATTCTAGAACAGTAAACGCAATATTAGCGAGCACAGAGTCTATGGGAAAGCTATAGTAAGAACAAGATCAAGTTATGCTTTAAACTTTATCTATTTCTAAACATAAGAAAAACAATTACATTAGTACAATAAATAAGGAAATTACAATTATCATCAAGTAAGACGAGCAAACGCACCGACCAATGTAGCGTGTGATGGTGGAGAAAACTTGTAGCTCAGGTGGATGATTGTGGCGGTGTTTCGTTCTCTGAGCTGGTTGTGGTTTGGTTGTGAAGCTTTCATTGTTCGCCTTCTGAACAACATCATCATCAGCACAAACTTCAGATAGAAGAAGTGAAGCATTCGAATTTCTCCACGTGCTTGACCTGTAGCTTGTTCTGCTGCTAACCTCGATCTTGATTGTTTGCTGTTGACTTTTGACCTGTCGTTGTTTGCAACTTTGTTTTGATTGCACCCCGCTTTTGATCTGTTTCTTGATCCTGTATCACCTATGATTTTTCTGATTGGTTGATAAATTGAGTCAATGTCGATGTGTTTGTTGATTGCTGATTGGCCTGAGTGCCAAGCTTCTAAAAATTCTCTAGTGTTCTTTGTCCTCCCCCTACCCAGTATTTCCACATTGTTCCAATCAAATGTGTGTCCATAATTGTCGGTATGTATTGATATAAGCGAAGCTTTGTTGTGGCGTTTGACTGCTAATTGATGTTCACGTAAACGAAGCTGAAGAGGTCGTCCACTTTGTCCTTCAGATAGAAGTTTGTGCTGATGATGTTGTTCAGCAGAAGAACAATGAAAGCTCCACAACCAAAACAACCAGCTCAGAGAACGAAACACCACCACAATGTAGCGTGTCTTATGGAAATGAATAAAACTTTAAATCACATCAATATAATAAGATAATAATAATAATCCTGCGAGGAGCAGGAGTCGTGGATGTGCACTGCCACTGATGAGTAGTCCCATACCAGGACGAAACGACCGTCTTTCAGTGCTTCCAGGTTTCTTCTAATGGTGGCCTAATAAGGATTGATTGATTAATGATTTCAAATGTGTAAAAACGCAAACCTCCAAAACTCTGCCCCAAAATAATGTCCTTTAATCAGTAGGTCATTTACAACAAAGAAAGTTTACAGACACGTCAGATCAGATCACTTGGTGGGCGCTTAAACCCTCAATTTGATTGGTTAGTTATGACATAACTAACTGCTTACCAATATTTATATGCGTGTTATGTTTTGTTTTTTCAGCTGTAGAACATGTTCAAGATGTAAAGAAAATGTCAACGGAATCGAAGACCTATAATGTACCAGAATATTATAAACACAATGCATTTGATTTTTACGATTCTGAAGTACAACTGAAAGGATTTCGATTACCACAACCTAATCCTTCATGATTTATGTGTGACATTGTTTTTTAAACATTTAATAGTAGTTATGTAATAGATTATAAAAAAAATTATTCATGTACTAAACATTCGAGGCAAATATACGTATTATTTCTTATTTTCACTGACTTTTTTAAATATATAAATTATACTACTAACTTTTTATATAAGTAGGTTGAACATAATTCGTATTTTTTTATGTCATTATTTCTCTAGTCATTGTCAACAATGAATATTGAAACATTGGAAAATCGTGTATGTGAGTTAGAACGTTTAGTATTTGGACCTAATCAACAACAACCAGTGAAAAAAAATTTAACAATTGAAAATGAAAAAGTTTGTTTTATTTATTTATTATCAATTTTAAATGCAAACATTTTAAATTTAGAATTTAGTTGATCAACTCTATGAATTGTATTCTGCCATGTCAGTTGCTGAAAAACGTTCAGTCAGTAGTAAATTACTATCAAGAAGTAAAAGAAAATATTGTTTTTTTTGATTTGATAATGTTTTTTTTCTCTTTAAAAAAAAAAATTATTCCTAATCTAGTTAATGAAATTCAAAAATATACTGATCCAAATTTCATGGAAGATAATACACTTTTAACTCAATCTAAAATTGAAATTATTTTAGCTCGTAAGTACGATGCAGTTGTGTTGATTGCATATAATTTATGAATAATTTTGATGATATTTTCTTAGTGTACGTTTTGCACGTTTTTTGGTTGATAAAATTGTACAACAAATGTGTATTTTCATTTGAATATGATAAATCAATGTGAATTTACGACAACAAGTATTCAGTCAGTCAGTTGCAACGTAGAACTTCGTACGTATGTACATAAGTTCATGTTGCCATACCATCACATTAGCACAGAGATGCAAATGTCAAATCAAATCACATAGTGATAAAGATAGTAGAGGTATTATTGGTAATGAGGAAGACTAAGGTTTGAAGATATTATTCAAGAAGTATAATTCAGTGAGATAAGGTTAGAAAGACAAAGGTAGAGGTGCTGACGTATCCAGAAGATTAGGATTTGAGAGGGCACAACGAATGGATGCACCTGTGCCATTCCAAACGATTTTGAGCCATGTCGTTCAAGGTTTCTAACCATTGATGACTTTCGTCTCGCGGACCCCAACCAGGTAGACTATATTTACCAACATGACTTAGTCCACTTGTCAGTGACTTCATGGATTTGTGCCATGTTTTGGTCTGGCCGCGGTGTGGGCAGCCGGGAAGTGATAACCGCCCTCATACCCGTAACAGCACACGAGACCAAATTGTTCAAAATCAAATGGCTGTGGATCATTTGTCAATAAGTTAAGAAATTTCAAAAGAGAAACAAAAGTATGTGCAAATATTATTGGGTAAAATAAGTTTTTAAAATGAGATGGCATTCTTGATAATGCAATGCATGTCTTTGAAATATTGTTCATCTATGTTGACTCCATCGAGTGACTAGTTCTAAGGTTATAATACACAGAGTACTTACGAGGTATAAGAATCCGATTAACAGTGTCATGAATCTTAACTGACTGAAATGGTTGAGACACGCATAACGTATGCCTAATAACCGCCTACACCGGCGAGCAATAATAATTGATGTACGAGTGGTTTGGAAGCAGATTAGAGGCGGTTAGGGTTTGATTTCAATATGATAAATCAATGTGAATTTACAACAACAAGTATTCAGTCAGTCAGTTGCAACGTAGAACTACGTACGTATGTACATAAGTTCATGTTGCCATACCACATTAGCACAGAGACGCAAATGTCAAATCAAATCCCATAGTGATAAAGATAGTAGAGTTATTAATGGTAATGAAGAAGACTAGGGTTTGAAGATATTATTCAACTTGATAATTTTCTTGAACTGGATTACTCTTGAAAGTAGTATAGATCGTAAAATGAAATCTACTATTTTATGACGATTGAACACTGTATATCGATGAAAAACGTTAGATAGTAAAAACTACTCGTACTTTTGTTATCCATCAACTCGACCGTAGCTTCCTCCACCTTGACATGGTGGTCGGGCTTGCCTATCGTGATGATCCAACCGAGCTATGTTGGCTGGAACATATGTTCCTGTAGGTTCAACCATGCCAGGCAGGTTGATTGGAGAACGATAAGACTAAAAGCAGCAACTTAAGGTGGGAGGGCAAAGTCGTACAGCCGACTGTAGAGTGGTGTGACAGCAGTATGGCCTTTCCCTCGGACAACCAGCATTTGCAGCGATGCTGTCTTCTCACAAGGAAGGTAGGGGTTAGAAAAGGTCGACCCTAAAAATGTCACACCTCACCTTACCTCATCAATTTCTGTCTCCGGCGACAAGGATATCTGAAGAACGGAGCCAACACTTCGAAATCTTCCAATAAAATGGCCGTACGTGACCGGCCTCAAGCAGTTGTCCCTTGGACTCTGCGGTCACACTCCCGGGTCTCTAAAACCAGCACTAATCGAACTTCATTTTCAGGTTTCTAAAGAAGCACCCACAGTGTGGGCAGCCGAGAAGTGACATCCCCCCCTCAAACCCGTAACATCACACAAGACCAAATTAGTCACAATCCATTCTTTGTGTTCTCCCAAATTCTAATCTGAATTCTTCGTGACTTTGATCTTTCTCTTCTCTGATTTATTTCACATTTGGAAACCCTAATCTTTCCGATTACTGCTTATGTTTCTACTACCTCTACCACTATAGGATTTGTGGTATGTCAACTTGGACTGATGTACGTTCGTATGAATCTCTACGTTGTTGCTGACTAACTGCCTGTTATCCATCAACCACGTTACAGTTCATTGACCTCAGTAAATTTGGTCGTATTTATATTCATAAATCGCTATTCGTTCTATTTAAGATTGATTATCTAACGCCAACTGAATAAATACTCCATGGGTTTTATTTCACCATATCGTATCCTCACCTCATACTGGTTTCTGTTAATTCATATTCTGATGTCAAACTTATCGAATATCACTTTCAAATTGGATTTTGTTAACGTTCTAATATTCTAAAGTGCATACAACATTGATTACTACTCAATGACCAGTAGGTTGTGCGTCAGACCTACAGAATATCAATTGTGATCTAAATAACTTAGTGGTAACATTTCAGACGATAAAGCTCAATATAGATATGAATCCAGCAGGCGGCAGCAGTGTCCTTTTGAAATTGCAGATACACCTTGCTAACGTGTGTCAACTAGCTGTAAACACTTAGATTGGGCATAGTTTCCTGTCAACAGTCTTAAACCACCGAATATACATAGATATTGTTATGCATAGCTCTAGACTAGCCTAATATTATGTCAATTCATTTTTATCAACAAAACTTGCAATCTAGCACAAATCAGTATAGTATGGTTTAAGCTACACTATACATATTATATAAACCACATCTTTTAGTTAACCTTTATAGATTTTTATGTACAAATGTATAGTATGTAGTAGAGTAGCATCATATCATGCCTACATGACTTGTACACTAACTTTTGGACAAACCAGCTAATCCATTTTTCTCTAGTCATCATTATTCACACGTACTTTGACCTTGTTATAACCTTGATTGTCTTTATGGAGCTTGTGTGTGTGTGTGTATATCGCTTACTTTATTCATCACATGTCTGATCATAAGTAGTTAGTCACACCCTGTCAAATGAAGGTGACCCACTCGCCTTCATTTCGTTTCTGTGCTTTTCATTTTTGATGTCTGTCGTCTGATGAACTCATCCAACTGAATCTGTATTTTGACTTCTCATTATCACCATCATACAAACGGGGTTAGCCTAAATGTTGTTATATACTGACTGAATTCAATGGAAGATTAATTTTGTGTAGCATAGTTTTAATCGTTCGACCGAATCGGAGTCAGATCTCAGATCATGAAAGTGGTGAACGATACATACACACACACGTTCAAATAAAAACAATCAAATTTATAAGTGAATTAATTAACAAGGTCAATGTATGCGTGAATAATGATGACTTGAGAAGAATGGATCAATTGGTGTTTTTCAAAATTTAGTACAAACCATATTGGGCTAGACATAATAAATAGTACACACCATGAATGTAGTGACAGAACTCTGTGGAGCTAAACTTTCCTGCATTCCTGTTCTTTCCGACGTTCATCCTTCTCGTTTAGTATCTCAGTCAGACAGTCATTCATTAAAAACATAGAACTTCGTACTTAGGTACATCAGTTCAAGTTGCCATACCATATTAGCACAGAGATGCTATGGTCAATTCAAATCCCATAATGATAGATGTAGTAGAAGTATGAACAGTGATCGGAAAGATTAGATTTCGAACATATTGTTCAAGAAGTATAACCCAGTGGAATAGATTTGAGACAAGAAAGATGAAGGTCATGAGGAGTTTAGATTAGAATTTGGGACAATACCTGCATCATTGCAAACGATTTTGAGCCATGTCATTCAGGGTCTATAACCGCCGGTTACGATTGTCTCATAGACCCCAACTAGGTAGTATATATCTGCCAGCATGGCTCAGTCCACTTGTCAGTGACTTCATATATTTGTGCCATGTTTTGGTCTGGCCGCCTCTAGCTTTCTTCCAGCCTACCCTTATCGTTTAGTATTTGGTGTGTAATGAAATATGGACATGGCTTGGTACAAAAGAACTATTAATTTTATTCGTTTCCCTGATTTGTAATGTCGTCTCTACGAATAGGCAATTTTCTGATAGTGGAGATTTCATATTGTATATCTTGTTATAACATTTGACAACTTATTCCAATGTTTAACATATAAGTGATATCTAATTTGTAAAGTTATTTCCAACAGTTATAGATTGTATCCTAAAATTAAACATGAATGCGTATACTGTTGAATTGCCCTAGGATCAGGCGAAAAAATCACCTCGTTTAAGAAAGAATAATATAAAATTCGTTCATTTGATTTCAGCTCGCACATTTGATGTGTCAAACACTTTAAGCCGCTAATTATCGTTCTTCATTTTCAGTAGAATGAGATTTGACTGATATAATCTTGCTATGTGAATAGAATATGTCAGCTTGAATCAGCGTACATATATGCACTGGATTCTATGCTGTGTTTGACTAATTGTCTGCTTATGAAGATAATTCAACTAATCGATCAATAATTATATTTGTATTACCTATTATTAACTTACCTAAGCCTGTTACCCCCCAGTGGGACATAAGCTGCCGACTAGCATTCTCCAAATTGTTCTGTTTTGAGTCTTCCTTTCCAGTTCTATCTAATTGCTGTTCATTATTTTTAATTTTTATGTCTGGTTCCAATTTTCGGCGTATTGTTTTCTTTGTTCTTCCACCCGTCCGTTGACCTTGAGGATTCTAAGTGAGGGCTTGTCTTGTAATGCAGTTGGGTGCTTTCCTCAGTCAGTCAGTCAGATGCAACGTAGAACTTCGTACGTAAGTACATCAGTTCATGTCGCCATACCACATCAGCACAGAGATGTAATTGTCAATTCAGATCCAATAGTAGTTGTAGAGGTGGTAAAAGTATTAGAAGTAATCGGAGAGGATAGGATTAGAAGATATTATTCAAGAAGTATGTGATTCAGTGAGATAAGTTTAGAAAGTCAAAACTAGAGTTGATGAAGAATCCAGAAGAAGAACATGTCATACATTTTTGTTTACATTTTAACTTTATTTAATTTTTAAATCTTATCCCATTTTCTTTCTCTTTTTTTTAGAAAAAGATAGAATCGAGAAAATTGGCAATGATTTGGAAAAAATTTCTAAACTACGCGATTGTTTAAATCATCCAGCATTTAGTGGTTAGTTTGTTAGTGTTGAGTTGAGTTGAATTGAATTGGTTTTATTCTGTTTGTTTGTCTATTCGCGTGAGAAAATCAATATCTGCCTGTCTATCTATCTGTCTATCTGTTTATTTCAATTCTGTTTCAGAAATTAGTACATTAAAAAAGAAATTTGAAGATCTACGCCTAGTACACAATGATCAATATGTTATGTCTGAGAAATTGATCGGGGATACACAAACTCTACTAGACACATATCATAATTTGGTATGTACATTATTATTATTATTAATATTATGTGTGTGTGTGTGTGTGAAATGATGTGGAAAAATTACCTACCTGTCATACGTTTTTGTTTGTTTTACACGATCGTAGCTGCTACCTTGATGCGGTGGTCGGGCTTGTGTATTGTGATGACCAAACCGAGTTATATTGGCTAGAACATATGTTCCTGTAGGTTCTGCTATCATGCCAGGCAGTTTGATTGGAGAACGATGAGACTAGGTTTCAGCAACTAAAGGTGTGAGGGCGAAGTCGTACTACTGACTGACTGTAGAGAGGTGTGACAGCAGTAAGGTGTTTCCCTCGGACAACCACCATCTGCGGCGATGTTGTCTTTTGAAAGCGGTAGAAAGAGGCCAGCAAAGGTTGACCCTAAAAATGTCACACCTTACCTTACCTCATGCATTTCCGTCTTCGGTGGTAAGGCATTTTAAAAAAAGAGCGGAGCTAATACTTTACAAACTTCTCATAAAAAACCGTGTGTGACCGATCTTAATCAGTTGTTCCTTGAGCTCTGTGGTCACTCTAAGACCAACAATAATTGAATTTATTTTTCAGATTCCTGAAGAAACACCCTTTCATGGTATGGGCAACCGAGAAATAACCTCCGCCCTCAAACCCGAAACAGCACATGAGATCAAATCGGTCTCAATTAAATCATCTTTATTCTTATTCATTATTTTTTGTTATGGTTAGCGTTTTTTTTGTTAGCGAGGTAGTTTTCAATGGAATGAGTTCGCTAAACTCCACACGCAACCCTTGTCGTTTATCTGGGTTCGGGACCGTCAGTAGCCCTGGAGGTGCTCCAGGCAGAGTTGGTCGAATTCATCATTATTCTCTATTAATTATTTCATATACCTTAAATGATGTTTTATATATATTTTCATCGCATACTTCAGATCTAGTAAATTTGTCCACCATTTCATAGAATGGTGACCCAACATCATTGTGCTAGATTAGATATGAGCCCTAGATTTTCATTTGATCTACACATTTGTATAATATAGTTGATCATTAACTATGAATTCAAAAAATAATATATTGAAGGCTCAGTAATCACTGGATATGAGAAAGTTATGTGAGGTTATTCGAAAATAAGCGAATTCTGATTATGAAATTATCAAATATTGTATGAAGTGAAAAATAATTAATTATCTTAGGTTACTTAGACTTGTTTTTCACATTATAGAGTTGTGAAGATTGTTTGAGTTTCATTTGAAATCATATCAGTCAAGTAACAACGTAGAATTTCTTACGTACGTACATCAGTTCAGGTTGTCATACCTACCGCGTTAGCTCAGAGACGACGCAATTGTCAGTTGAAATCCCATATTGGTAGAGATAGTAGAAGCATTAGCGGTTATTGAGAAGATTAGGGTTCGAAGATATTATTCAAGAAGTATAATTCAGTTAGGTAAATTTAGAAAGAGATACATAGAGATGATGAGGAATTCAGAAGGTTAGGACTTGAGAGAACACAATGAACGAATGCAACTGCGGCATTGCAAACGATTTTGAGCCATGTCATTCAGGGTCTCTAACCATCGACTACTATCATCTCACGGTCACAAACTAGGTAGACGACACCCACCGACTTCATATAGTCCACTTGTCAGTGATTTCATGGATTTCTGTCATGTTTTAGTTTGGCCGTCACTAGCTTTCTTCCAACCTCCTACTCCTACACCAGAAAAAATAGCTCATGGAGGCAGTCGGTGATTGGGTGTTCGTAACACATATCCCAACCACCTTAACTGATGAAGTTTCAATACTTCATCTGTTGATCCGCTATCCGTACCTAAGACCCGTTTCCTAACAATTGCATTGCTTACTTGGTGGTCCGAGGATGTACGAGCAATGGTTCCAAGACACGTATGATCGAACACCAGTAACCGACGAATATCTTCTCTGAGTGGCCATATTTCTCAGCCATAAAGTAGGAAGAAGCAACCTATACACTCATACTTTAGTTAGCAAACAGATATCTCGTCTACGCCATAAGTGACACAAGTTGGCAAAAACCAATCTAGTCTTCTGTATCTCATTTCGTTTTTATTCTTTCTTTTGCAACAGATACGTGACACATCTAAATTATTTATCTATTGGAATCAACGTATTGGAACTACATCATCAACGGAATTGTCCGATGCATGATTGTCATATTGTCTCATTCAATTCACTTTGATTTCCTAATCTCTCTCTCTCTCTGATATACGTTTTTTGCCTGGTTGTTGGGGGACACATACACTTGAGTAATTTTTTTTTGAAGGAATTATTTCTATTACTAATGTATCATGCAATCTGATGATGTGTAATGTATTTTCTATGTGAACAAAGGTAACTTTTCATTCTAATTTAATCTGTACAGAAATGTCAATAAATAATGGTTCCTTATTTTCACTTGTTCCATATTCTTGTATGTGTTTGTTGATTGCTTTGCAAACGTGATGACATAGTTCTATTCGGTGAAGACTGACAAATGCAGAGTCTTCTGAATACCATAAGCAACAATGCGAGCATGTTTGAGATGCGGTTTTCCCCACCTCGAAATGAAAATTGTTGCTTCAAGATTGGGTTGCATCGGCACCGGAACTAGTGATAGGGAGTGAAGTAGTCGAACGTGTTGATCACTTCACTTATCTGGGGAGTCTGATCAGTGCTGATAGCCTGGCGACTGACGAAATCTCAGCGCGGATACAGAAAGCTCGATTTGCTTTTGCCAATTTACGCCGTGTTACGAATGCCCAACCACTGACTGCCTCGTCGGGCAATGTTTTGTGGTGTAGGAGTAGGAGGTTGGAAGGAAGCTATGGGCGGCCAAACCAAAACATAACAGAAATCCATGAAGGCACTGACAAGTGGACTGAGACATGTTGATAGATGTAGGCTACGTGGTTGGGGTCTGCGAGACGGAAGTCACCAATGGTTAGAGACCTTGAACCACATGGCTCAAAATCGTTTGCAATGGCTCAAGTGCATCCATTCATTCTGCTCGCTCAAATCCTAATCTTTTGGATTCGTCAGCATCTCTACCTTTGTCTTTCTAACCTTATCTCACTGAATTATATTTCTTGAATAATATCTTCAACCCCCAGTCTTCTTCATTACCAATAATACCTCTACTATCTTTATCACTATGAGATTTGATTTGACATTTAAGTCTCTGTGCTAATGGGTTATGGCAACATGGACTTATGTACATACGTACTTAGTTCTACGTTGCAACTGACTGACTGACTTTGCAAACGTAGAATTTATTATATGATAAATGAAATCAGTCGGTAAACTTTGTTGGCTAAACATTCAAACAATTGTGGGTTTGATTGTTTCTTTTTTATCCCATACACGATAAATTTTAAAGGTTTAATTGTAAATATTATATAAAGTAGTATGTGATTGGCTAAAGTAATGCAATTATCTGTGCTCACTGATGACTAGCTTCGTGAGGAATCTTCGAGTTCTAGTGGGAATTTGTGACCAGTGAAGTTCAACTTGTTCGGGTGTAGACAGTAACTACCGAAGACCGTGAATTGATCAAGTTAGACATTGATGCCATTAATTGCCGGCTCAGTGTTCCCGATTTTAGGCGTTCGCACAATATCGAGGGCCCTGGGTTCGAATCCTGCGGGGTACATTAGTCGTGGATGCGCACTGCTGATGAGTCCCATACCAGGACGAAATGGTAATCCATATGTTTAAGTGCACACTTCATTTTGCCTGAAAAACGGATAGATTATCTTTGGCTGTCAGCACTTTCGAATTGAAATCCGAATTAGTGTGTCACTGTGTTTTGTTTGTCGTCCGGTTCACCAGTTCGGTGGCGAGCGGTATTCGATATAATTCTTTAGACTTCGTCTACTGCTCCTCCTGATAATCGTTATTAGATAATGCCTAACGGTGTATAAATCAGAAGACGATTACGAACCGTTGATTACGATTATTATGGCACCATACACAGATCACCGAAACCAACAGGCATACGGCGTGAAAATGCTATGCAAGTGCCGAAGAGCAAGTGAATAGGATTAAAATGTACAGATATACATATACATAATAAAATTAATATCATCGGCTTATTTAAGCGGCTAACATCAGAGCAAGTCGAATGAATATGTTTTTTAGGCAGTAAGCAAAGTTCAGTCGTACCAGATCATACAAACCCGACAATAATAAAAGGCAATAGTATATATAACTTATTGCTATACGCATGACTCAACTAAATAAGTTAATCAAAAGGATTTAACCAAATAAAACGTGAACAATCGCAAGTGATACGATGATTTTATAATAACTTATACAAGCATTCGTCAATATATGAACGAATAGTCAGACACCAAGCTATCAGTACTGATGAGATTCCTGAGATAAATGAAGCGGTTGACACGCCCATCTACTACTTCACTCCCTATCACTTGTTCAGGTGCCGATACAAGCCAATCCTGAAGCAACATTTTGCATTTCGAGAGGGATAATCGCATCCCAAACATGTTTGCATTGTTGCTTAGGGTAGTCAGAAGACTCTGCATATTGTCAGCGTCTTCACCAAATGGAACTATGTCATCGGCATATTTTATGTCAACAAGCAAATCTCCTGGTAAAAGTTCAACTCCTGAAAATTCAGATGATGCAAGTGGCGTAACTAAAAGTATGTCAATGACGAAGTTAAACAAGAATGAGGAGAGTGGACAGCCCTGACTGATACCAATTGAAGTAAAGAATTTCAATGATAGTCCACCATAGGCTCTCACTTGACCAGTGGTGTTCAAGTAGAGAGCCTGTGTAAGGTTAATGTACTTCTCTGGTACACCTTTCAATGACAGACACTGCAACAGAATCTCACAGAGTCAAATGCCGCTTTAATAAAGACAACTATTGTCGGACACCTAAATGTGTGTCTTTGTTCTAGGACCTGACGAGGGGTGAATATATGGTCTATACATCCACATCCAGGTTTGAAACCAGCTTTGTTTTCTCTAGTCTGCTCTTCACGAGCTCTAGTTAGGCGTCGAAGTATTATCGAGGCTAACAGTTTAGAAACTAATAGTTAGACTGATTCCTCTGTGATTGTCACATAAGGACGTTTGTCCTTTCTCCTGAATTACGACAATCAGGGATCGAGACCAGTAGAATGGGATTATGCCCATTTTCCAAGATTCTACCTAGGATCTCACTCAGTCTAACGGGTATGAGGGCGAAAAGTCACTTTCTGACTGCCCAAACCGTGCAAGGGTACTTTTTTAGAGGAACCTGAGAATGTAATCGGATTAGCGTTGGTCTTAGAGACCTAGGAGCGTCATCACAGAGTCCAACAGAAAACTTCTTAGGGTCAGTCACTCATGGCTTTTACATAGGAACTTTGTATATTGTTAACTCGACTCTTCAAGTGGTTTTACCGCCAGATACGGAAATCCTTGAGGTGTGACATTTTTAGGGTCGACCTTTTCTATTCCCTTCCTTCCTTGTGAAAAGGCGGCATCGCTGCAGATGCTGGTTGTCCGAGGGAAACATCCTACTGCTGTTACACCCCTCTTCAGTCAGCATTACGACTTCGCCCTCAGACCTAAAGTAGCTGTTTTCAGTCTTGCCGTTCTCCAGTCGACCTGCCTGACATGGTAGAACCTACAGGAACATATGTTCCACGCAATATAGCTCGGTTGAGTCATCATGATAGGCCACCTCGAACTACCACATCAGAGTGGCAGCTGGGGTTGGGCGTTATAGTCATGGATGTGCATTGTTGAAGAATTCCTTGGTCAGGATAAAACAGATATCCAATACGTCCTGACTTTCAGTGGTTGCTTAATTAAAATTAATTCTTGATTCAAACAACGATTTTTTTTACTTGATCAGCCGATATCTTTGTTACATAATTGACGTCCATATGCGGCACACATTTAAATTTTCTTATATGATATTTCAGAGAATAGATTAGTTTAAGAGTTTTTTATAAACTGTGAAATCAACTACAAAATTATTGAACAGTACAATCAATGTATTTCGTGTCCTTCCTCACACATAAAACAATCAACAATTGATATTGACAACAGTTCGATTTGTGAATTATTGGTTCATTTGTGCATTGCCCGTCTTCAATAATGTCATCGTTTGACTTGTAACTTTTCATTACATAGGTTCGTCAGATTAGAAAGAAACAATGGTTTATTTTTTTTTCTGGTTTGCAGTAGTACTCTAGTTTATATCAGGACCAATGGTTTTATGATAGCTTCTAGTATTTTCAGAGATTACTGTTCATTTTTAAGTGACTTATAAGATCGCTGTCTGCTTATGTAAGCAACTCAGTGAACATGGTTGGCTGCTTCTTCCAACTAAATACGCACTAAATTACTTAGAAATCATGAATCTGAGATTTTTAATTGTAGTAGCTTTAACAGTGTGAACTACTCACTAGTTAGTTTTCTCAGTGATTAAGTTAGACGGTTCAAAATATCGATATCAGGTCCATTGTTGAAAGCGGGATAGGATATTGCATTGTTGAATTCATATCGGTCTTTCAAACTCAGTCTCGTTGAGATGGACTTGGAAATAAAGACAACAAGTTCTCTTTCTACTGTATTTTCCTTGAAAGGTACATGTAAGCTGGTAGCTATAATTAGATGTAACATGAGACTGAAACTTTCTCACATTTGACCGTTAAAACTAGCACTTAACGTGGTTTACGAAGTGACTAACTTGTGTGTAAGATATTTGTTGATCATCAGTACCCTAAAAAATTAGACCAATCTTGAACGGATATGACAAGAAAAAGATCGAAGTGGGATAGGAAACTAATATTTCCTAATCCAGAACTTACATCACAGAAAGAAGTACAAATTACAGTCACAAAATCTAACTATTTTTCAATGATGTGGTTGTCATTGATTATTCCTCTAATTCATCCAAACTACTTTATAGTAGTATAAAGTTTTAAGCACTATTTCTAAGGTCTGTTTTGAAAAACTACGAAACTGTTTAGTTATCTTAATTAGTTAACTAATGTCATTTGACTAATCAGAAAAAAGCAAATATTTCTGAAAATAAACTATTCTCATTCACTCTTAAAAGTTCTCCAATCATATTGGAGTATATTAAATCCTTGGTAAACAATTTTTTTGGGGCAGAGTTTTGGAGGTTTTTGTTTTCACACATTTGAAATCATCAATCAATCATTGTTAGACCACCATTAGAAACCTGGAAGCACTGGACAGCCGTCTCTTCCTGGTGTGGGACTCATCAGCAGTGCGCATCCACGACTCCTGCACCTCGCAGGATTCGAACCCGGGAACTTCGGTATTGTGAATGAGTGATAAGACCACCCCATTTACATTTAGATTCCTAATACCGGTTTCTTTGATAAGTCTGAATAGTTATTTACCGTTGCCTATCGCCGCTGCCTCTTCCAT